GTGTTAGCATAGTTCACAGGAATCTGATTTGAAGACAGTTTTCCATGTCAAAGGAAACAAAGCAAAGCGACTGATTTTAGTTGACAGCATCTGTAATAATGAAGCCGATGTTAAATAACGGGGGTTCAAATTAGAACAAATGAAACAGGAGGAATCAAAAAGTTTAACCATCAACATTAGCCCTAAAGATAAAAGTAGAAAGACTGATGTTCATAAGCTAACATGCGGCACTTTGTAATTGTTAAAAATTGTGGTACTGATGTATGTAGTTGAAGCAGCTGGAGAGCAGGTAGGTCCATGTCAAAAGGACATCTGCAGCAGCAATCCAGAGGAATCTACAGGATGAGGGAGCTCAGGGACTTTCAGAGAAGACTGTGGTTAGTAAATTCAATTCGAAATCATGAATCACAGCAAGAAACTATGAAATTTATGGTGAAATGTCTGTCTTCACTCATCTCTCTTCCTCGGAACTTTGCAGTTGACACATTTTAACACAAATGGGGCAAATTTCACAACCTTTAACGCTGCTGCCGTTGTCACAACTGCTTATGGCTGAAGTGACTTTATGGGTATCAGCAACTTAAAGATGCACTCACCAGCCCTGCTGCTATTGTCTGGATTGTAGGACAAGATCCAATAAACAAGAATATTAAAATGGTGAACAGAAATGAATGTTTTTGTCACAGTGTCAACAGGCAGAGGGGCAAGAAGACTCTACTGTATGTAAAGCCATTTATTTATTCATTCATTTATCTCAAGGCCCCTCTCTTAAAGGGCCTTGAAACACAATAACATATAAAGAAACAGTACAACATATACATTAAGAGTACACAAAGGAAATCACCATCATATGACTCAGCACAATTTAAAAGTTGTTTCAGTTTGAGTTTAAAGGGAGAGTTTGGTACTTTTGAAGAAGGGTTGTATGAGTGATCAGCGTTCCAAGCAGGAGAGTATGTGCATGTTTCCTTTGCAAATAGTGAAAAAAACAAATGGGTCTTCTGAGCTGACATTTCCTCAGTAGAGCATTCACTAACACAGAGATGAGCGCTTGGGTAAGAGTTTGTCAGAACTGGCTAAACTACGTGGCAGACTTGACCCCATCTGCAGCCTAGCTTGCGCGCTGGTTCTCCTGGAAGCTTATCTTTAAAGGGGCAGAGATGAATGGGATCAATTGTGGCTAGTGCATTTCCATGTGACATGTGGTTACTATAACCACACTTAAATCTTCAGTACAACCCTTTTGTGATGATCCCAGCCAGGGAGGCTTGAGAGCCCTAAGTACTGATAATTACAAACTTATAGAAACCTGTGAAATAACAGTTTTTAAAAAGGCAATTCCCTGTTTCAACCACCAAGCGTCCTTTGTTTTAATCTTCCTCTTTGTTTTTTCATCACTGGTATTCATCTCTGCCTTTTTCTCCTCTCCTCATCTGTGTACCATGGATGGGTAACAGGGTGGTTATCAGGCCTGGCCAGCCCAAGCCCAGCCCTTCTACCTGACCGCTGCCAGCAGGGAGCGGCTGCTCTGGCCTGAGTATCTCCGACCACAAAAAGCACCCAAGGAATGAAGAAATCAGGCAAAAGTAATCTATGCAAGGACAGAATGAGCCTGCCAGCATGTGAGTGCATGGAGAATGTGCATTTTTTGAGTAAGCATGCACGTGCTCTTGAGCCCGCCACTGCTGCAACATCCGGCCATAAATCTATTGTGACACGACAAACTGAATTTATGAGCCAATCTGCTTGCAACAGACATGTTTGATTAGAAAATGGAAAGGAGGATGGAATTTAAAAAAATGTAGTCACAGGAGTGAACTTCTGCTTTCACAGCTACCACTGAATATTGTCTAAAAATGAAACACCACTGCAAAAACATTGTAAAAATAACCCTTTTTTCAGTGTTCAAACTTCTTAGTTTGTGCCTTTTTAGTTGGTTTCTTTTTGGAAGAAAAAAAAGTCAAGTAGCTTGTCCAACCTTCTTGCAAAATTTTTGCAGTCTTGTTGCAATGGTGACCTGGACAAAACCCAAACAACAATGATACCATATAAATGGAAGACTTATCACATCCCGCCTCTGTTAAGGGGAACATAGTGGCAGCCATAATGGAGCTTGACCTTCTACATTTCCCTTTTGTTTAAAGGTCATACATATTTTGACAGACACAGAGGAAATACATATTAGCGAACTAATATTGTATAAGAGATGATAATTACAGAGCTAAATAAAGAGTCAATAGTTCCCTGCATTAACTATCCAGTCTCCATTCTCCAAAAGTAGTATAAGGGGGTAAAGATTTCTGTCCTTACTAATCATTAACTAGTGAGGGTTCAGGAGGCCCTCTGTACACCCTCCAGTCAGTACATGAACAATATGTAGTTAGCTAAGCACAGAGATCTGTCTGACCCATCTCATATCCTTCATTGTGGATACACCGACTGAAAAGAGAATTCACTTATGTGAGCAGAGCTGTCTAAAAGCCTTTTGGTGCTCTATCCTGTTTATCCTCAGTAATGTTATATATTCAGAGGGCATTGTTGGCACGTTTTCATACAGCAGGTATGTTGCTTTCATATGTGCTGTTTTTATATGTGTAGATTGTTTAAATTGATTTTATTAAAAATAGTTACTACACAGAAAATTAAATGTCTGTGGCACTCAAGTCAAGTATTTGTGTCATATGTATCATGTTGACATATATTATCAAATCATTTTGTATATTAGGATATCAGATCCATGTATCATCTCATTTTGTATCATATATCATAGCATATCTTGTAATACAGTATCATATTTGATATCATATCAAATTATCACATTACATCATGTTATAGAGTTATATTTTTTTCATTTTACATCATAATTTCTCATATATCACATCATATTTTATCACCATTTCTTTTCATGTCATATCATGTCATTTCATATCAAATCATATCAACTTTTATTGTTTTATATCATATTATATTGTGTAATGTTGTGTCATACCATATCGTGTATGTATATCATAATTTATATCATATCATATTGTAACATCATATTTTGTTATCTTATTGCTCACACTATAACATCCTCATAATATTTTATATGATTTAATTACATCATATGATGCCATTTCATATCAAATCATATCATTTATTTGCACTGGATTATATGATACATCATATTATATCATTTCATGTTATTATGTATTATATAATATCATATGGTTGTGTGTGTTGTGTCTTGTTTTATTATGTCATGTTGTGTCCCATCCTATCCTTACATAATATTTTTCACTGTATGGTTTCTTATCCCTCCTTACAGTCTTGTATTGTACTATATCCTCTCATATTACACTGTAATGTCTTGTATCATGTTACATTGTGTCTTGTTGTATCATATCAAAGCATGTGTTATCATACTGCATCGTATCATATCATAATATATCATGTTTTATTATAACATATCAAATTCTGTATCTCAATATCATTGTGAATGAGGAAAACCTCAATGATTTTCAAGGCCTAAATAAAGGTTCATACATAAATATCACAAATCTCATCTTTTGTATTTTGCATTGTATCATATTATTCATATTGTGTCAAATAATATAGATTTAAATAGTTCAGTATTGTTTGATATCGTTTCATTTTGTGTGTCTCTGTATTGTGTTGGTTGGTTTTGCATCATAAATCTAATATTATATTGTTAAGATTATATATTGTTATAATCCACAGGTAACTGTATATTAGTTTGCTTTATGGAAAATCTGAAGAATCGCATAGTCAGGACTGGATCAGGCTTTCCTTTAGACCTGACCCTAGTAAGGACGCTGTAGACTAAAAGTTCCAGGTATTCAACTTAGTGAACTCTTGCATTACCTGCTGCTCATGGTTTTCACTCCTCTATTTCCTAATAATGTGTTTTATTATCTTGATATCTTTTAGGGGTTTTTATGCTCTTGTGTCTCACAGGTAACTGTTGACTTTTTTATTGCAGACTGCCATATAATATGAACCCACATGCTGCGGTTATTATTCAACCCTTACATTTAATCTCATTGTTACAGAGGCAAATGTACGATTATTAGATTGATTGACTAATTCTACTGTTTGAGGCCACTAAGTTGTCTAAATAGGTGGGGACCAACTGTTCTCACTTTGTTTTGTCTTGCAGTCTTTTAATATCCATCCAAGTCTATGTTGTTTTTGTCAATAAACCACCATCCCTTCATGCACGCACACACACAGATACACACACACTCTCAGGCAGCTGCTTTCTTACTCAGTGGAAGCAGGTGTCTTTAAACCTCTTGGGGTTGTTATTTTTTTTTCTTAAGGGTGTCTCAGAACACGGTGAAATTCCCAATGTGAAAGTCTGCAACTTGCTTTGGCCTCTTTCCACATGACCCCCCCCCAGCCCCCACCGACATACTCACACAGACACTTAAAACCACACACTACAATTGCTGACAGTGAACCCATCTTTCGAATCTGAAACCACCCTCATCAAACCCTCTCCCCTCTGCAATAGTTCAAACCACACCATGTCTTTTAAAGCTGCAGCAAAAACGCACAAACCCCTGGGGGGGGGGGGGGGGACTATTTGTAATTGGTCCTGCTGTAAATATCACAGTTCCTGTTCAATGTGCGCTGCGATGAATGTCATTTCTGTGTATGTATCCCTTTGAGACTCATACTTGAGATGGGGATCTATATTGGAGGGTACTGTGGTGGATTGGGGGCAGTGGAGGGAAGGAGGGAGGGGGTGTAAATTTAGGTCCTGGTCTGAGTCTGGGCCCCTTTTCTTTCAGGGCCTTAGAGGAAAACAAGCGTCCACAGAGACCAAATGTGTAGCTCATACATGTGTGTCTGTGTTTTTGGATAACTAGAGAAAACGCTTTATTCATTCTTCACACTCCTGCTCACTGGGTTGCTTTTCTCTTTGATATTTCTTGCACGTGTGGTCAGCAACAGTTGGCTACATTTGCTTATTGGCTTGTAAACTTTACACTATTGTTGTACTTGGCAGATGGGAAGGCTTTATGATACACTCTGTACAACTCTATATCAATATAGATTGTATTACGTGGGAGTTAAGGGTGGAGTATTTGAATACTACAGTCCTAACAAAAAATTTGAATACTAGAGATAGGGTACACTTTAGAGACATGGAAGAGCAAACAGTTCGTTCACATTAAACAGAGGAATTGCTCCAGACAACAGAGAGCCTTCGCTGTGCTATTTACACTTGTAATTTAAACAACTACAGGCTATTTGTACTTCAATTCTGACTGATAAAAGCATATTTACCGCTTAAATACTAGGAAATGTTGTGCCGTGTATTTCATGATCTGAGTGGAAATGCAACCTTTTCTTTATGGAAATAGGACACTAAACACAAGGCTGGTATAAAAAAACACACTTTATTTACAAGGCAGTTTATAAAAGTAAAAAACATGAAAACTTGGCATGTATAAATGCTTTTATAAAATCATTTTGCTCAAAAAAGCTAGTATAAAAAGGCATTATAAAAAGATTGTCTGCTAAGTGTTTGACATGGGCTACTGCAGTCTCAGTAAGAAAGCAAACGCTGATAGAGTATGCATTACAAAATGGTACAAAACTATTCATAGAAATGTTTAAAAAAACATCAAACATACAACTTTCAATTGGGCTTTTGTTTGTAACAAAACATATAAAACATCAGTGTTTAGTACTCTCGCTTTCTACGGATAATAGAAAATTCAAGTGCAGCTTGGTCTTACTCTTACTGGGCGAAGCTCACGGTTCAAATGTAGACATGCACCTCATGTTCTGAAATTATCACAAATATAATGTTTGTTCATCGAATGTTTTCTGATAAAAATATCAAAATTGAAATGAAAACTCAGTTTCTATGAAATAAAGGTGCCAATGTGGTAATAAGGTAATACTAATAAGACTGGTTTTGTAAAACATGGTTCGCAGTGAAACATGATGGAGGAACACATTAAGCTGTAGTTAAGTGTTAACTTGAGGTGGCACAGACCCAACACTTGAAATTCTCAGTAGACCCAGTGTAGCTTTAAACATAATGACATCAAAATAATGGAAACGTCTCATGACTGAAATACAGAGGTCAGTTTTGAATAAATGAATATGCCTTTGGATTCATGATAATGCTAACAGGGCTTAAATACTTAACTTACAACACTGCTCTAGTGGCCAATTGTAAAATACCAACAACAACAAAGTCATTATTAAAATAAAAGAAATAAATTAATCAACTTGTTCATTATATTAATATCAAAATTCAGAATTAATAATACAGCCCAATGAAATTATATAGCCACCATTTCCCATTTATAATACAAACATTTATAATAATACAGTGACAGGACCAAAAGGGGTCAGACGCACGTTTCTACAAACCAAGAAGCAAGTTCTATAGGAAAGGATTTAAAAAACAGAAAAAGTCTATAGTCTTTGGTTGGTTGAAATCCAACGAGTGTGAGTGTATAAACACCAAGTGGCATAGAGCCTCTCCCAACTGTTGTACCACAACAAATATGTACCCCGCTGCTCTGCGTCCAGCACAGGGACTGTTGATGTTTCAGGATCAACATGTGTCTCTGCCTACATGACCAGCGTCCTCGCAGAATAAGTGTTGATGTACTTGTGGCTCTGCTCAGAGCCCAGAATGTGCTCCTCAGTTTTCCCACAGGTCGCCTGCTCCCAGGAACTGAGCTGCTGCTGACAAGAGAAAGAGAGGGTGGTGAGTTTTTCTGGCAAAAGACGAATCACCACAACTCAGTCGAAGCTTGTTTGTAAAGTGGAACTTACCTGTAGTGGGCTGCTCATGCCTCTGTGAGAGGAGTGGAAGGCTTTGTGTGCATCGTCACTCAATATGGAGCTGGTGAGAAGGTCCTAAAGGAAAATAGAAAAGTATAATCAACAGAAGTCATGATGATTCACACAAATACTAGAGAAGACTACAAAGGACTAATTTTGGGGGGTAAAGTTTAAGGTTTGGGATTTGAAGTTATGGAGGAAGTCAAAGTTTAAAACTTACAGGTACTTCCTGTGCAGGGCCGCTGGGAGAGAAGAGCTGTGTATGGAGGTCTTGACCTTCCCACTGCATACATGGGCTCCTCTCACATGGAGACTCCACCTGCCATCCAAAAACACATTCAATTATTACCAAGAGTCTTGCCCGAACTTTTTAGAAAGATTCTTCCAGTAAACTGAGAATGTGCTGTAACACCTGACAAAAAAGTGCCCACATTTTCAAGTGTAACTCAAAACTGAAAGTGAGCTCAACCTTCTGCTTTGCTTTCTCAACATAAAAACTAAAACTTCTCACGTCAGTCTCACACTTGTCGGTGTGTTTTTTTGGTGTACGTGATTATTGCTGAATGGAAAGTACCTCTTGTTTGATCTTCTTCAGAGGAGGCTGCTCAATAGCACACTCCATCGGCTCCTGTTTGATGGACTCCACCATCTGCTGCTCCATAGGGGTGTTCTGGAAAGGACACAAACACTACATTTAGTCCCAGGAACACAGTACCAAACAAAACAGAGATCAAAGTTACATTTTAAAGACTCACCAGTAGTTTGAGGGGTCCGTACTTGGCCTCCTGCAAGGCAAGGGATGACCTGAAAGGTGTGGGTGTACAGGGAGACGACTCGAGGATTGAGCGGCGGATATTTGGAGTTCTGAACCTACAGAGAGAGAAAGGAACTGTTTGTAAAGCCACTCTCTCTACACTTTTTTAGCTGACTGTACGATAACATGTGAGAAATAAAAGCACTCACATTTCATTCTCCTTCTGGGGCCTGATACTGGGGTCGATCAGAGGCTTGGTGTCCACAGGCGAGCTCATGGGTACGCTGTCATTGTCAGAGTGCTCAGAGCTCATTGACTGGTTGAGAAACTGTAAAATACAAAAAATGAAAACATATTAAGTCATGGATTTTCCCTTAACACTTATAATGTGGCAAATCATGGATGTACAATTGTGAGAATCGTAAAGTCTACAAGGAGAGAAGCGATGAGGAGCTGCTTAATGAAATAAGAGGAAAACCAGCAGAAATACTAACTCTAAATAATCAGCTTCAGATGTGATCAGGTAGCAGGAAAGTGATTGGATAGGTTCTGATCATGCTAAACTACTTCAACTACCTGTGAGGGTGAAAAGGGGAGGTTTCTGCCTGCTGGAGGCTTGGGAGTTGTACAGATGAGACCTGCCCACACTTCGTGAGCAGTCCTTGAGCTTTGACTGGGTGAAACCCTGTCCGTTCTGAGAGCGCTCCTTTCCTCTAGTGAGGAGAGGCTCTAGAAAAAGGGCGGGAAATTATGGGTCAAGGCCCATTTTTAAGCCAAATCTATGTCCCTAGTTACTAAGCTATTTTATTTTAAGACAGAAAAATAAAGAACAAATGACTTAGAATGAACTAAATGCAGATACTTACTGAGTCAATGACAGACTCCATAAACTCTGGCATCGTATTTGAGAAGGCTGGACTGCTGTGATGGCTGTTGCTGCCGTTGTTGTTGTTGTTGTTACTGTTGCGGTTGTTGTTGCTGTGGGCCCGTGCTGCAGACGCGCTCTCCTCAGGTAGGCAGCTCTGGTCCAGAGGCAGGGCGGGAGCAGCCGCCTGGTGATGAGGTAATAACATTCCCATGCCTTCTGAGCTGTCAGTCAAAGAGCTATGGCAGATCCAGCTCGGGTACGGCAAAGTCATCTAGAGGAGGGGGGAGAAAAGTATAAAAGAGTGAGGGAGGGATATAGCTACCACAGAATAACCCTCTGGAAAATACAAGCATACACACAGACACAGAGCGGTGAATGTTAAAAAAAAGTGTCACACACGCACAAGACAAAAAATGCAAGCCTGACAATAAGGGAAGAGGTGTGAAAATGAACAAAAGAGCAAAAAGAGAAGAAGAAAAGGAACTTTAATATAAAGACTGAGAGAAGTGTTGTGTGGTGTTGCACAAGCTGTCAGGGACGTGCACCAAAAAATGGCGATAAGGTCCTGTTTCATCATTTCTTTTGCAGAAACAGACCCCCCAGATGTTTCCTCCTCCTCATTCGCACACACACACATCTAACCACTGTCCTCACAGCCAGGGTCAAACACTCATGCACATCAATTGTTGCTGTCACACTTCCACACACACATATACACACACGCATGCTCAGTACTCACTGGTAGTGAAGGCTGGCCTCTCAGCTCGTCTTCTGTTGACATGAGAAGCCGTTCGATTTCTTTCACCCTCTGCTCCTTCTCAGGGTCCTCCTCACTATAGTGTCTCTAAAAATTTGCAATGAGGAACAAATTTTAGCCACAATTCAAAACTCCAATCCTCTCTTCCATGTAGACCAAACCTAAAGGAAATAATTGAGCAGTATACTCTTGCTTACCTGTATAGCAGCGGTTGCAGGCTGGGGGATATTCATGATGTTCAAATGCAGGGCTAATGGGAACGGTACCTGTTAAGACAATCAGAAACCAGCACCATTAGACGATTGAACAACCTGTAGTGTAATTCTCTGGTTTGTAAAATTGACAACTCTCACTCACTCTGTGTGTTTCGGTGATGTATGTGTAGTTTAGTGGTGGCGATGGAGGCAGCTGTGCATGACTGGGCGAGTGATGAGGGAAACTCATGATGTGGCTGTTGGTCTTGATGTAGCCGTGGCTGATGGAGAGTGAGGAGTTGCTGTTCTTGGCTGAGCTCTGCAGATAGCCCTCCTGTTCCACCTTTCGCCTCATGGTGGAGTTCCAGTGGTTCTTTATCGCGTTGTCAGTCCTGGACGGTCATGGATAGCACATGTTAGCTCGCGGGTAATTGATTACGAAACACAGAAGCAAGTGTGCAACATGGAAAGACATCCTGGTACTCAAGTGGTCCTTGATAGTCTTATCTACACAGACACACAGGAGGCTATCACTGTCACACAGACACAGAATTGATAAGGCTATCAGTGCAGAGTAATTATAATCAAGACAAAACTACCACATCTTTTTGCTTGTTTTTCTCTTTTCTCTTTGCTCCCAATTCCAGGCCTTTTTTTTTCTCTAACTTACTTCAAAAACTCTCAAATATTCACATTAATATCATTTCCTGACATCAGCTCACTTGTGTCTTCTCTTATTCCTCCCTTGTTGTCCTCTCTGCCCTTTCACCCTCTCTACCACAACATTGCACAGCTGACCAATATGGTTTTCAGTGATTCATCTAGCTTCCCCTTTTTCCACCTTTCTCTCTTCCCCTTCTCTGCCTCACCTGCCAGGTAGCAGCTTAGCAATCTCAGCCCAGCGGTTGCCCAGCTTCTCATGCGCCTGGTAGATGATCCTGTCCTCCTCCTCGGTCCAGGATGTCTTCTTTACCTCTGGGTTCAGGTGGTTATGCCAGCGCTCGCGGCACTGCTTTCCAATACGACCCTTTAGGTGCTTGGCAATCACTGACCAGCGCTTGGCTCCATATTTCTGGACCAGCTCGATCACCTGGGGGTGAAAAAAAAAAGAGGAAAGACCAGAGGGCAGGAGGAAGAGCATAGAAAAGGAAGAGAAGTAAAAGGTAGCAGAGGGGCGTGGGGAAAGAGGAAGGAAAGAGCAATAACAGGGAGGAGAGGGAGAAGTGAAGGGGTGTAGTGAAAAACAAGGTAAAAAGAAAAGCACAGGGGGAAAGTAAGAAAGAGAGAGAAATGACAAATAGTATTGTTAATTACTCTGCAAAAGCACTAAAGAGTATGACGTGTTTCTCTTCCTTCCTTCTCTCTTTCTTTATCTTTCAGTCTGTAAAGGGGATTGGGAGCACCTGGTGGTAAGCAGTGAGGGAGTTTCCAGTGGAACGTTAGCCACTCAGCTAATCATTACAGTGGTATCATGGCAGAAATATAACCCCTCTGGACTCCTTCAATAAATACTTAACTGAAGTTTGAAGAGGTTTTCAATGTCGCTTATTGAGTAACGGCTTAAAGGAGTTACTTTTTGGGAAACTAAGAATGTGCAACAGCAGCCAAGGAGTTGCTACAGAAAGGTTGCTTTAAAGGAACATCAAGTCATCGTTTTACCTTGGATGACACTTTATGACTTGAGAAAGTTCATATCTGGGTTGCTTGGGTTTTTACAAGCCTTTTATTACAGTTTTAAAGCTGTGCCGCTTCAAAAGTAGTCCCACATTGTTTTATTTTAAGATCAAGGTTATCTTATTATTGTTTTTTTTTTCTTCCTGTATGCAACATATTCAGTTCTGTGTTCATTTTCAAGTTCTGAGAGTCTTACCCTCTGGTCCTCCTCTTTGGTCCATGGCCCTTTGATGAGTTCAGGGTTGAGAACTTTTTGCCACCTGTGCTGGCACTGCACATCTGTACGGTTCTGGAAGGCAAGAAAGCAAAAGGTTAAGTTTTAAAGAGTCAGTCAGAAAAACACAAAGACCTCTTTTTCACAAGATGTTTTTTTTTTTTCAATCAATAGTTCCTCCTTTATCTTCAGATTTAACACTTACAGTTAGTAAGCTTGCAATGAGTTTCCAGTCTTCTGATCCATTCAGCTCCACAAGTTTCTTTAACTTCTCATCCTTAAAAAAAAACCACACATAATAAAGTTAGTCAGACATACAAAACATGCTGCTGCAGTGAACATGAACATCAGCCATTCAAAATGAACACTCGTGTTAGTGATTGTGGTTAGACCAGACTATTATAAAATGAGAGGTTCCCAGGTTCTTTTCAGGTGATCTCTCCTGAGGCAGTTTCTGCTAAATGTGTGAGATGTCTTTAATACTTTGTACATCAGAGCAGGTGTTTGATTGTGTGTACCTCTTCACGTGTCCAGCGTGTTTTGCCGAGGTGGCGTTTCCCCGCCTTGGCCATTGATCCATCGTAATCATGTTCATACATCTCTGTCTCCTCCTCATCCTCCTCGCTGCTGTAAACACTGCAGGCACAGAGAGACATAGAGACAGTTAAAAACAAGCGGAGCTGGTGTGAAAAGGGATAGTGCAACACTATAGAGGGACAAATAATTGCACATTAAGAACCTTTTTATTTTCAAACTACTCCCTAATCAACTCTTTCCACGGGAACAAAGAACTCAGCCCAAACTTTAACTCATCAGGTGTCAACACAGACAGAACCAGTCATTCCTGAAGGTTTGGGTGCAGGCTCTGGGCCAAGACACCCACAAGGGGAGAGAAAAGGAGAGAGAGAAAGAGGGAGGGAGGGAGGGGGATGGATGGATGGATGAACAGGTTCCAATGTTTTTTGTTTCCACAGATACTGGGATTGGCATATGTGATCATAATTTCGTGACCCCGGCGTGTTCAGACCTGCAGTAGCATTGTGCAGAACAGAAACACTCACACAGACACACAGACACACACACACACGCACACACACAGACACACACACACACACACACACACACATACTGACTCTAAACCAATCAGATCAAGGGGTAGGCAAGTGGAAGCTAGGTAGGGTACTTCAGTGTCATAAAGAGCAACAGGTGAACAGGAACCCCACAGAGAGGAGTGTGTGCACATATTTATAGTGGACTATCTTCCTTGTTTTTGGCCCTATATCTAACAGTTTAAAAACCTGTTTCAAAGGCAGAGACCTTATCAAAAATACATCAAAATAAAGTACAACAGTCTGCTTTTGGTGCAGTAGAACAAAACTGTATTTATGGGGCTTTTTTTTCCAATTTAGCAGTCTTATTGAAAAGACAATCAACCCATTAGAAATGCAGAAGAGTGGATGAACACAGCAACCAACCAAAGGCAAACAATACTGCATGGTGGAGTCATGGTGAGAATGATGAGTAAGCTGGAAACTCATGAAATATCAATCTATATAACTGCTCTGTAGACTGAAAGAATGAGGGGGGTTGCATGTAGATTTAGGACGCACAGTCGTCCGATTCTCCGCTTATAAGCATGACTTTACATTAAAACCCCGAATCAAAACTAGGTTTGCCAAACCCGTGCAAAATCTTGTCAAAAGAATAATGCGCAGTGTGAGTTACTCTACAGTATGTCTGGGGGTTTAAGGGACTGAAAAAGGCGCATAGGCTAGACTAAAAGAAGCAGTCCCTACTTATGACAAGTGCGCGTAGAGGACGCGTAGAAAGCGCAGTTTCCATAATAAAGAGCGAGTGCTCCTCGTTTTCAGAGATGTTACTTGAAGTTTCAGAAAGGCGGGTTTAAAGTGACCTTTGTGCCAGCTCCACGGTAAATCTTTATCTAATCTGCAGGTGAAAACGAAATTATCCGACCATGTGGCTAAAAAGGTGATGTTCAACCTCAGCAATATCCTAAAAAAACGTCCTAAACTAAACCGAGATCCTTACTTTGAGTTTGTTGCAAATGTTTCATAACTCTGCGTAGTTTGCGTGAGAGAAGTCAGAGATATAAAGACGCAACGCTGCAGTAAGTTTGATTCTGTGTCCATAATCAGCTTCTATTTAAAGCATTGTCCACGCTCCGTGCAGTAGCCTATACATCGTGGCACGCGTTTGTCCACCCGCTTAACTTCACTATTAATCCGTCTGTGCGTGTGTGAGAGTGTGTGTGTGCTTGGTAAAGTAGTGAGAGATCCCTCTCTCCCCCTCTCTCTCTCTCCAATGACAGCAGCGCGAGGAGCGCACATGCCAGATGACCACCACCTGTCATGGGCGCGCGAGCGAGACTCCCAGTACATGACCACTCAAACAAACAAAACGGCTCGCGAACACAAAAAAGAGACCCGAAAGACGGAGTTACAAATAAATATATATACAAATGAAATTGAAGTCTGGCAAAAAGTCGCACACGCGACTCCGTTACTCGCGCTTTATCTAACACTAATAATGAGTATTGTAAAAGAAAACGGGAGATATTGAGAAAGAATGGAAATAAAAGAGTAATAGCTCCGTTTAAACTTACCTGTTTCTCGGCCGTCGAGCCATGTTAATGTGAAGAGCGGCTCGCAAGTTACGCTGAGCACGTACTTTCACTATCAGCGCTGGGTTTGTTCTCCCGGCGTGAAGGCAGGTTGACATTAATTTAAACTGCAGCAGTCTTACTACCGCTCCTCCCCTTACATCCCGGTAAATTTGGCGCTCCTGGGCGCGTGTCCCCATTGCGCATGTCCAGTTTAGGCCCCATTCAAATTCCGTACAGTGTCTTGTGATTGTGGATTGAACAAACACAGGAAAAGTTCTAATTTTGTCACACCCTTGTGACTACAAGCGAGTAAAAGAAAACTTGAATGTGTCTAAGAGTACTGATTATATACTGTACATTTTTCCCAGTCCTGAGTGATCAAAATAATTTTTCTAACCTGCTTGGGAAAGTCGTAACAGAAGAGAAAAATATACGACAAAAAACGTAATTTATTGAATTGCTTGAGATGATTAAACGGGTAATTTGGCGACAGTTAGATAAACATAGTACCTGTAAGATTGCACCTCTTGTTACAGGAAAGAATACATTTTGTATTATCGAAAGACGTACGAGGCGTCCCTGAACGCACCACAGCACTACACAGTAGACTCGTCAAAGGCGCGTTTTGCCTGTTTGTCCGCGCTCCGGGCTTTTTGTCAACAATTTTCACAAGTTACTTCTCCTCCGATGAAAAGGAGAAGGAAACATGTGACACTGGACGAGGTAAACAATTGCGGAATGGGTGTTAGGCATGCAAGGAAAGTGAAGTTAAAAAGGACTGTCTTTGTGCTCCACTACCTGTGTATGTGGTGTTATAAATGCCTGCAGATGTTTCTTAGTGATAAAACATGCTGGACCTTTGTCTTATCGTAAATGGGCTACTGTGCTCGTTCAGACCATGAAAGCTGTCAAAATGAGGTGGCACTTCAACTTTTGTTTGGATTTATTACACACACAAATGAGAAACCATTAAAAGCAAAACTGCCTGTTTGTCTAATTGTTGCCCCAGTTGTCTTTTAGGTTCTTTAAACAGCAGCCTGTAGATGATGTCTTTGCATTTATTCAAAATAATCCACATTTGAATCAGGAACGAGTTGATCCTGTTTTTCAGTAACCCTCTGTAAAAGATGAGTATTACCATTAAGCTCCTCTGTTGTTGCATAACTTGTACTTTATTCTTTATTAAAGCAATTGGCCAACATTGTGATTATTTTGTTTTGGTTGAGTTCCTAGTCCTCCATGTACCAGCACTGCCCTCGCTCAGCTATTCACTGCAGGGAGGAGGGGGAGTAAATGCTTTATTTGTATAAATGTGTCTTCTCATTGTATTAGTCCCTCCATACGCGACCGTATTGTCCTGGTCACTTGTAATTAACATCTCCTCAGACTGACCTATTGTCCCAGGCCAGACCCCATAATAGTGGCCTGATAAAGGATTATAAACATGTCCACAGACTGAGGATTTCACTACTTGATTCAACACAGTGCTCAGTGAGGTGAAACCTGGAGACAGAGAGCAATATTAAGATTTACAGGACTTGACATGTGTTAGATGAAGCATGCTTTGCAAGATATTTTTTACAGTTCATACAGTCCACTAACTAAATTAGCTTTGCCATTCATTGGCAACTTGATGCTTCAATTTCCACACACCTGTACACACAAGCATTGTTTCAGCCATTTTTGCCTTGAGGAGGTGGTACTTCTAATCTATTCAAATTAAATTTTAATGATACAACAAACTATTGTGCAAGATTGATATTTGATAGGCGCAGGTAGAAAGAAATGTAGGTCAGTCACAGTGATACAGAACAGAAAAAAATAGCAAACTGAATTTGAAAAGAATAAAGCTTTATTGGCAGAAAAAGAGGAAACAACATAACCTCAATCATCATTCTTGGAGGAAAAATATGTGAATGGCATGCCATCTCCTCATGTCTGATTGGTATCTCTGTGCATATGCAAATTAACTGTGTCTTCAAGCAGACGTAATTTGTCTTCATCTTATTTCAGACAAGCCTTGAATGTATCTTTTCCCTCGAGGGTAATATTAAAAACTACATTTTGTTATCTGAAACTAAATTGAAGGAAACGAGCCGGGGTATGCAAATCCCCCTCCTATAGTACTGCGAGCGGGAAGCCAGACTCCTATTGACTCTTAGCCAAGTACATTTGCATGGGCGCGATTGGACAGGTTAAGGAAAGGTATTATGAAGGCTGCCCCCTTTGCAAAGCATTGTGTGCACAGGTTGGCTCATTTGAATGATTTTTAATGATGGCCCCTGGGTCTGAGATATCATCCCACCAGGCTTTCAAATCCAGAGTTACATGTTTTGTTAATTGCCTGTGCTTGTGTGTGAGGATGTATGTTTATGGGTATGTAAAGGCCTGTGATGAGGAAGGGTTGATCCCAAGACAAACAGTGAATGTGATCCTGTATGGTTATGTGGTTATATAAACCCACATGCTGACTATATGCTAATATTTGATATTATTTGATTTGCATATTTAGCTTTCTTTAACAGTTTAGATGAAGGAAAAGCATAATCGTATTTTAGAATCCTTATTTTTAACTTCAACATTCATAACGATTCAGTACTGAAAGAGCAAATGAAATGTAACTTTCACTATTTAGTTTCACTTAAAGGACCTCTCATGTCTCCTATGAAGTTAAGCTGTGTTGACCACCTGCCAAAAGCTGCTAAGGACGTAGGTTTTGCATTTTCCCCCTGGGGGTGAGTTCCTGTGAAAGACTCTTCCCATGATGCCTTGTGCCCTTGGCAAATTATGTAAAGCATGACCTCACACCCTCTGCCAACTTTTGGAAAGGACTACACCCCTAACCCACTTGCACTTCTTTTACAATTGCACCAGGATTAATCTGTTAAAACCTGTACATTCTGTTGAGATGGACATAAAGAAAATCATTAGTGGTGAAAGTACAGTGTATGCAAAACATAAGGATTATTGATCATTAAGCTATATTGTAGCTTTACTTAAACAAATAACCCATCATCCTCTGATCCTTTTAATTCTACCAACAATCTGTTCATCCATCTGTCTGATTCATTAGCTTGGCTGGTTGTTATTTTTTACAGACATCCCTCTGGCCCGCCGCAGATTCATTGATGAAGACTTCTCAGAAACTCTGTGGCCATGTTGGTGGCACAGATTTGACCAAAGAACGCTTAAAAAACATTCAGAGGAAATGAATAGTTCAGATCCTGCGCAGAGGTGTGAAAAGTCACACCTCAGCTTTGTTGCAGACATAAACACCCCATGAACACATTTGAACAGTGTTTTTTTATGTCAAGTGAGCTCATACACACAAGAGCATATCACATCCACAGATATAACATCCAAAAAGGAGGATTCAGTTTGCAGTTTGGCTCATTTTGTGCTCAAAAATGTGTTTTTTCTTGTCATTTGAGCTTTTAGACTGTTACATACATTAATTTTCACTTGAGCAATGTGTTCCATGACCATTACAACCCAGGTGCTGAGTTTGGTGGCAATATGTCCTAGAAACATTTGAGTGATGCACACACAAAAATGTCTCCCTGCCACCTGTGTGACCCTGTAAATAGATTGTGTTTCTGTCTGTTTACTTGTTCCATGTTAGCAATGTGTGGTTGTTTATTTTGACATGATGTGCAACTCAAACTTCAAAGCGCAGGAAGTGGAATTTTAGAGGGGAAACCTCCACCCACTTTGAGACATATACACACACACACACAGGCACACTCCTCTCTTGAGGTAGAAGTATATTTGCAATAAATAACAAAGTTCTCAAGTTTTCACTGATATGAGCAATCCTCTTCTTGTTGACCTCAACCAATCAAAGCTGCTTTTGTCAAACTGCCACCTTGCAATATGAGCCACTTATTTTGAAAAGGTCTTCATGATTACCTAAGCAGGTTCTTTCTTTATTCTGATCTATTTTTAGAAAGGGGAGACACACCAAACCTCATATTTCATTGCCCCGTGCAGATGTGCAAGTGTAAACTTCACCTGCATCACTGGTATCAGATTATTGTGTGACATTTTCATCATCATCTTCTCCTTTATCTGCACAGAGGCCACTGAAGATGAGATCAGGACAACCTCATGAATCAAAAACCACACATACATACATCTGTACAAATATGTGTGTGCTTCTAAATGCGCAAACGCAAGCTTACACAGAGCTATTAATACTATATTTCTGTGCCTTTTGTGGTAGACGGGCTGTAGGTTTTTTTGAGTGCAAAGATAGCAGGAAAATATGATGTCACTGTTTGGGTGCGTTTGTTTTGTTCAAGGTGTCAAATGTGGGTTTGAATTGGTTGGCCTGTTACCAAAGGGCATAATCTTTGAATATGTGTGAGACTGCAGAGGAGCTATCAAAAGTTTGACATTTACTTTGTGCAGCCAGCCTCTCTTAGGTTGTTGAAATGCATGTCTTATGTTCTCCTTTACTTTAATTTGGTGTTCCGATGTTTTGGCTCCTTTTTCACATTCATAGACTGACATTGAAGGTGCAGTTTGAAGGAATTAGCAGCATTAAGCAGAACAGACATCGTAAAAAATGCAGAGTTATATCCATGAGTATGTTTTAATTACCTGAATACATTTGTTTTTGGTAACTTAAAAACCTTTTAAGTCTAAACAGGACCAGGCCCCTCTCACAAAAGCTGCTATCTTTCACTGCTATGATTTTTATCACAGCACAGAATAAACAAACTTGTAGCATACTTATTTTTTATTTTTAGTGATTGGTTGTGTGAAAAATGGTATAATTTATATCTAAGTGTTTTTGATGGTGGAAATTTAACAAATGGAGGATTTTATATGAAATGGAGCTTGTTGACCTCAAAGGCCACCATCATTTTATTAATAGGATGGTTGAAAAAGTAGCAACCTCCAATCTTGAAAAGTGAAGCCAGTGCAGCTCCTTACAGTAAAATAAAAATGTTTACAGTCTGGTTCAAAAAGATTTTGGTCTGAATAATTTTTTTAATAACTCATTAAGTTTGCTGATGTTAATGCTACAAATTTGGTATAATTAAAGGAACATTTGTCTTGATTGGCAGGCAGGTAAACTGAGGCTGTCTGAGAGGAAGCCCACGTCAACGACACCTTTTTCTTCTTGCTAAAATAACTGAAAGTTTTGTTGAGCCATAATTTCCAATGTGGCTTCCACTGTCCATAGTAAAGCTCTTAAGAAAGCACTATCCTTCTTATATTTTAGCAGAAGACTGGCTGCTCATCCTGCATCCCTCTCCACAGCAGCTGTAACATATACTGTACGCTGATTATTGTCTAAATGGACATCACTCTCTCCTTAAAATAGTTACAAGTTTTCTCACAACACTATAACTTGACTCACCTAATAACTAGGTTGAATATATTTTCAGATCAGACCAACTACAGTCCTGAAATGATACAAGACAGTGCAACCAAGTGCTGCAGCTGCTTAAATGCAGCCACAATAGACAACAAAAGATGCAGAAAAAAGTAGCAGCACAGGAGTCTTGGTTGCATAGAGGGCAGCGCCACTAGAAACCCTTCACACCATGCCTTAAGGGGAAGGCAGCATAATGACTAATATTCTTGAAACATATTCTTGTGACTTAGGTCCACAACTTTATCTTCATGACAACCTACTTTAGTCTTGTAACATAACTTTATTCTTGCAGCAGAATAACTTCATTCTCAAAACATAAACTTCTTGCAATACAACAACTGTGCTCTCACAACATTATAACTTGATTCTCAAAATCTAATTTTATCTGATAAGGTGGCCCTTATACTTTGTCAGAGCTATCCCCTTAAAAATAACAAAAATTAATGAGGAGTTCACTTCACTGTGATACTTTCTTGATATTAAATTAGGTGCACATTTCTAATAATGTGCCCTAGAAACAAAGGTTTTGATGATTTTCAAAAGAAAATAAAAGTACACACAAAATGAATTCCTTTTATGTGTGTTGTTTAATCAACAACTGTCTAATTTCTATTTTATTGATGCAATCTTAAATATTGTGTAAGTCTTTCAATAATGTATTTTTCTTCCACTTTGTCAAACCATTCGTCCTTTGTTGGGGGTCAAATTAACGTCACCTCCAAAAGCTTGGGTTTTAGTTTCTGGTTGAGTGCACATTGTATCATGGGAGAAATGACTTAGCGCTGCTGGAGCTAAATGTAACCGGAAGTTACGTCAGAAAATAAGAAATGTTTCATTTTTTTAATTTAAAAATACACCCTGGAAAATACGGCAAAAACGTATGAATAGCATATTAATACGTTTAAAGTTTATATTTTGTTGTTATTTTCATGTTTGCAGGCTCATCCTCGACCTGCCAACACACACACACACACACACACACACACACACACACACACACACACACACACACACACAGCAGCAGCAGCAATGGCAGCCGGGCAGTGAGACACATGTCAAAACAGTCTGGGAGCCGAAAAACACTGACGTTGGGGCCGAGGAGACACTAATTAGCAAAAATGTCTCGGCATAGAAATGTTCGAGGTTACAACTACGACGAAGGTACCTCATTGTCACTTTTGAACCGTTGTTACCGGGTTTAACGTGAGGGCCCGCTAAACACGCTAGCCGCTAAGCTAACAACCTGTGTTTTTGAACTAGCTAACGATAGCATTTATCTCTGCCAAGATAAGACTGATGTCGTGTCACTTTGCACCTGGCACAGGATCAGTTTCAATGCAGTACAAATAGATTTTTATGAACCAAAACTTTTAAGGCCAGAGTGATGATTACGATAATGCTTGTTTTGTTTCAGCAACTTGCTAATGTTTATGTTTACTCTGGTAACCCCAGCTACTTGGCTAGCCGGTTAAAACACCACACCATATGATATGTTTTATCTTATATCAAGTATAAGACATGCTAAAGCGACAAGTCCTTTACATATTGATTTATTCAGCATATTAATTTGCTATTTTTACGACAGAGCTCCAATGTCATGCTTACAGTGTAATTGCTGACATGGCAAACTGATACTTGTAACAAAGGAGTGTTTCCCTTTGCTAAACATGCATTTGTAACGCGTTTTTGTTACAAGGGAACTAAGGAAACTAAGATATAAACTGCTCTTTTAAATCTTTTTTTTTTCCAGATTTTGACGATGATGACATGTATGGCCAGTCTGTGGAGGATGACTGCTGTATATCACCAGCAACAGGTTGGTATCAGTAAAGGCAAAATCAGCATTATTCATCTGCTAGAAGTCACTTTCATTCATTTGTTTGTTTTTAATTCAACTCTTCTTTTAAGTAATTGCTGGATAATATAAGGATGTGATTGAATGGAACTTCTGTAAGTTTATCAGCTGGTCATTGAAGGTGTTTTTGGTGACCACAGCAAATCAGTTCATCTACTCACGTCAAGAGAGACATGCACCAAAAGAAGAACCTCTGGAGGAGGAAGAATATGAGGATGAGGATATCCCCATGTCCCCAACCATCAGCCACAACCTCGACCCCCTCGATCAAGGTAATCCAACAAATGTACATGTCATAGAATAGGTAATAAATTGAGATCCTTTCCCTTTCATTGGAGTAGTACTTGAAAACATGCTGAAAATAAACAACAAAATACTTGAAATGTGCACATTTTCTGTCTTTTATAGATCTTGGTTATACTTCTAATTATCTTCCTTATCACACCAGAGTTATCACAATGCTAAGTCCATGTAATACTCATAATAATACTCATCAATATTCATATCACAACATCTTAGAATGAACTCCTTAACACCCAAAACTGGTTAGTTTTGCTATTGTGGATGTCCAACCGGCATATGGTGCTGGTAAAGGTTTGTAGAATTAATATTCAAAATCAACAGGAGTTTTCTTATGATTTTCCCTAAATATAATATTCTCTCTGAATTATCGTTAATAATGCATAAGAGATAAATTGTGGTGGGCTCATATTTAGAGAGTGTGCTCTGTCTGTATTTTGTGTTGTTCTTGTTTAGAACATGATAACATTAGAATATTGTCAGTGTGCAGTGGAGTTAAAACGTAATGCCAAAAGTCAGCAGGTTGGAAACAAAGGTATTAGGTGTGATCTCTGTCCCTGACCCTTCTTTCTGTCTGTGTTGGTCATAAAAAGCAAATGTACCTCCTTATAAGAAGCACATGATATTGATAAGTGTAAGTATAAATCATGTTGAAACATGTGTTCTCTGTAGCCAAGCTATACTCCTGTCTGGACCATATGCGCACCGTACTGGGAGACGCTGTGCCAGACTCAGTCTTGACCCAGGCAGCCATAAGATGTGGATTTGACCCACAAAGGGCACTGGATGCAGTCTTGTCTGAAGACACGAAGACAGCCCCAGTCACCAGGAGTACGGGTGAAGATGTGACTTCAGTACCAAGAGTGATCCAGGAGAAAGCGCCGCTTCCACAGAGGGTCAAAAAAGAGGCGGTTGCTGAAAAAGGTACGCTGGAGCAGGTCAAATGTGGATATACACAATTTATCCACATTTTCATTTGTGTTTTTTCTTGTCCTTTGGCTGTTGATGGAGTTGTTTTCACTTGAAAGAATAAAACTCACCTGGTTTTTATATGGTTTTACATAGACAAATACAACGGTCAAAGATGACATGAAGCTCTGTATGTATTTACTTCAAACAGCTTTATTAATGTCTTTAGGGGCAATTTGCATGGAGCAGCTTGTAAAAACTGCAAACAACTGTCACACTGATATATAGGCAATAAATTGTACAAACCTAAATATGAAGTAAAAAAAAGTGAACACTGGCATTAAATAGACTGTCATAGAAGTTGACCTCTAAAGAACCTTAAAAGGATCAGTGCAGTGAAGTATAAATGGATCAGTCTGAGAAAAAGATAGAAAGTGCTTAAAATATATAATATCTCAAAGCAACATAAAGGCCATTGAATAATCTAATGGGTAATTACAAGACCAAGAATCTGCATTTTAGCATTTTGTTTTATGCTAACTCATATTCTTCCTGTAAAAGAGTGAAAATAGTGACAGTATTTTAAAGGACATTGTGTGAACTGCTCTGTATTCCTGGTGATTGATCATTGAAAATGATTGTAATGAAGTTGTGGTTGCTGGTAAGAAACAGACTTCTCCTATAACAGAGCCAACATCAAATGCATTTCCTCCCTAAATCATAGATCTTCCACAGCAACACAGTGATTCTTACTGACAGTGTTTTATATAGAGGTGTTCACATTGTATAACGCTTTCAATATCAACATGAGGTGCAGGCTCACGAAATTAATCTCTGTTGACATATGGGTTTATGGGGCGAGGCTCAAACGAATTAAGGTGGAATTGCTGCAGCAAAACTCTGAATTGAAACACCTTTAGCCAGATGGTTTACATTGAAACATGCTTGAAATATCAAACACCACCCTGATGAGCTGAGTGCAGTAAAAAGCACATGTTGTGTACCCCTGATTAAAAAGTTGTGTTTGAGTGCATTTTAAACTCTCTAGATATTTGATGAATTGTTATCATCCTAAGTTTCTTAAGTTTGGACTGCTGGATTTAAGCTTTGTGTGAGAATAAGTCCTGTATTTTTTTTGAATCAGTTGATAGTAGAGAGTGGTGTATTGATTGCACATAATACTTTGTAAGGCTGTGGTTGTTTGAACAGCTGTAGTTAAAGGGATATTCCAGTGTACATTTAAGTTATGGTCAAACACACTGTAACACCAAGTTAGACACCCCCTCTAGAGATGAATGTTGCCGACTGCTTGCTTCTCTAGTTATACCAACTTAAGCAACGACCACATGATAGAAATAAACAGCGTTCTACCTCTCCACTCGTAAACCCCAAACAAAGAGCCACTCTATAACCACAAATAATGCACAGAACAGCACCTAAACTTCATCAACAGTACATATAGGGTCCCAGCCACAGCACTAGCCATCAAACATCTTCTTAGCTTTGCCTAATTTCTTTAGCAAAGAGACTAAACACAACTCACCCACTCTCCTCCAGCAGCCGCTTGTTTGTGGGGGGGAGCCCTCACGAGTCGATCAGCGAGAGCAGCGGAAAATTTATGATTAATAATTCATAGAAATGCAAATGTACTGTTGATGAAGTTAGGTGCTGTTCTGAGCATTATTTGTGGCTATAGAGGGGCTTTTTGGTTGAGGTTTGCACGTGGAGACGCAGACCGCTGTGTGTGGTTTTTACTGAAGTTAGTATAACTAAGGAGGCAAGCATTCGGTAACATTCATCTCTCGAGGGGGTGTCTAACTTGGTGTTATGGTGTGTTTGACCATAACTTAAATTTATGCTGGAATATCCCTTTAATGCACAAGAAATTCAGAGAACAAAAACCTCAGTGATTTAATGTTTATGAAGACTGTTAGTGATGTTATGTTGATTTTATCCAGATAGTATGAAGCTGTGAAAATGTTTAACAAAATGCCTTCTCTCTGTTCTTGTCCCTTTTATTCACTGTATAATTCGCCTGTCTTTCGCCGGTGGTCCTCCTGCCTCTCCTCTTCGACATCTGCAATTGGCTTTCGTAAGGTAAGGAGCCTTCTTGTCTGCCTCTCACACACACATGACACCCCAGACACATAAAACCCAGACTAAAGGGTGCGAACACACACAGCCAGTTGTGCAAGATAGCGGGCTAGACTTACGTGACCTCTTATCTCAACATAATGCTGACCCCATGGTTGGAAACTCTGGAAACGAAAACTCAACCAGTCACAGCACTGGTCCAGGTGTCAGCAGTGGTATCAGTCTGTCACAGCTCATGTCTGAGCATGTGCAGAAGAGTGGAGCTGATACAGGGAGAGGTTTTGGTGCTCCTTCGTTAGGCGCTCTTAACATGGGACCCAGTTCACCCAATCAGAATAGTTTGTCATTCGGCACATTTGGGTCTTTAAACATACCTGCTGTATCACAGAGCTCGGCTCCCTCCCTTCTTTCGGTTTCACTCAGTAGTCTGTCTTTAAACAACCCCAAGTTAACGACCGCAAGCTCCTCTTTGGCTGCTCCTCCTGGATTTGGGAGTCTCAGTTCTGTCATCCAGAGCAATCAGCATGCAGCAGGAGTTACGACTGGAGTCAAAGCAGATCCTAAGGGGGGCCTGTCGCTGGCTGATCTGATCCAGGAGCATTCAAACCGCAGTCCAGCAACTGCATTAAACTCCCTCCCAGGTCTCCGAAACAGCTCCGTGGCTACACCAGCACCGACTATGTCACTGTCCGCGCTCGCTTCACAGCACCAAAACAGGAACACAAGCAGCCAATCGCAATCACAACACACTGAACAGCCAGGAAAACCCTTTGCTGCACCAGCCAAAATCACCCCTGCATGCCTAGGTGGGACTGTCTCATTGTCTCATCTAGCCCTGCAGCATCAAACCAGCACTGAGCCTTCAGCACTGCAGCAGCCACCTGCCACGTCTGAGCTGCTGTCTTTGTCGCATTTGGCATCTGCACACAAAGGCAAAACCTCAACCACCTCAAATGGGTCACATTACTCCCTCACCTCTCTCCTCTTACCAGCAAAACCAGAGAAGGCTGGTGTGTCAGCAGAGAGTACTACAGAGAGTGGGACAGAGCATCAACTCGACCACAGACCACACCACCAAAGCTCCAAGCTATCTAAGCCGAAGCAGGTTATCGATTTGAGCACGCTCATGGCCCAGTCAGACGCAGGGAGCCCCCGTCTTTTCGACCACGACCTCCCTTCACCGTCCTCCCTAACCCCAGTTGCCTCTGTTTTTGCTCAGCCATCAGTTTTCGCGATTACCTTGTCAATTCAGAGCTGCAGACAGCAAAAGAGGAGGAGGAATGTGTTGAGGGGAAAAATTAAAGGTCAGAGGACAGGAAGTGGTTATCAGGCCTTCCTCTGGAAATTTGACGACAAATTCAAAGAGCAGCAAAATCCGCTCTCACCAATTGTACCATTTGGCTTCGATACACCTTCTCCTGATGATGTTGTCCGCGCAAACCAGCGAAAAGCTTTCACTCGGTAGATCCTGACTCACTTATCAACGCTGGTGCTAAATCGCCTCCCGGTTGAAGAACCTTGGGTCATTTCAGCTTTTACTCCAAGAAATGAACCTAAGTGATTGAAATGCAGCTCTCAGGGTCAGCAGCTTCTGGAACTTTTTTTTTTTTAACTGCTCCTCTGGAGTCAAGGACCTTTTGGGACCAACAACCTCTCCTGCTTTGCTTAAAAACTACAAGAAACAGTATTAAAGAGCATTTTGTCTTTTGTAGAGACTAGAGATCAAGCCTGAGATCACTTATACTCATAGAACAATCATATCGAAGTCAAACTGGATCAAACTCCTCAGTCAGCTCGGCAGCTTAAAATCTATTGCAGCTAAGTTGAATTTCAATGACCTTTTAATATTTTAAAACATTTTAGAGCTTTGTTTTCTGACTTTAAATTCCTATTTTTGTATGCATAGATAGCTAGTGGTCTTTTTATCAACATTATTTGTATAGAAATGTAAGTAGTTCAACTTAAGGCAGAGACAATGATGGCAAAGAAAGTCTCTCTCTCTATTTTGCATGGCCTCTTTTCTAGTTTTGAAGCAGCATGAACCTTTAAAAGAGAAAAGGAGGTTGATTCAGTCTGCAGGTGTGCTGCAGCGATTGGAATATGGATCAGTTAACCATTGTGCTGGTTTACTCTGCTGCTGCTGGGTTTGAGATCAGGGGGTAGACATTTTGGTTTGGAGGACACCTGGAGATTTTCCCATGAGGGAGTGAGCGTGTGCAAACACTATCACACACACATACACATACACAAACACACATACACACATACACACACGTGCGAGAATGCAAAAAATGAATGGTTTTAAAGTTGAATAATGCAGAAATGACTGGATTTAACAAGCACTGAGGATCAAGAGCACTCTCCTGAATCATACAAGCTTTTAATATGAGGATTTACAAATGGGTTTGATTTATGCTGGGTGTGTCTTCACACTCCGCCAAAGTTTAATTTGTCAATTTTGAAATAAAGATGACTAAGTTTATGTACTCTAAAGGCACCTGTGTCTGGGTGTGTCTTTGTGTGTGTGCTTTTGTGTGTTGATAGTATAAGATTCTATCTTTTTTTTTTTTTTTTTCAAACTGAACTTATTCAACACGGACTATTAATACAACTTTATTTTCCTCTTAAGGTATAAAATACAGGTTTAGCATGACTGAGATGTTGTATGTCTGTTGGAAGTGAAGAGTTTTAGCAAAACTGGTGATTTGATAGGTGTCCACTGAGATATGAAAACGCTCTGCATCATGTATCTGGTGCAGAGCGGGTTTTTTTTTTGTTTAGTTTTTTTTTAGGTTAGCCTCCTCTTACGATATTTCACATCTAAGTGTGAGTCATCAGTATTGGTTTGAATGGAGAGTCTCGCTCCCAAAGAAATGAAAGTTTAACACTAAGGCTTAGACATGGAGAGGCTACGACTGAACCCCAAAACCGGTATTATTCTGAGTATTGTCGTCAGGATGCTGGTGTGTATTGTGGTTATTACATGGGAGGAGTTGATAGGGGCTGATGTCAAACTCTCCTCAGTGTTGAGTCATTTTCTTTCACAGCTTCATTGTTGTCTTTACTGTGAGAACACTCTTTGAGCGAAGGGCTTGGGCTTAATGTGTGTAAACTTTATACAGGTGCAGAGAGTTGAGTGAAGTGGACCCTCAGGGTGTCAAACATAGACTGGTGAGCCTGAGGGGCGTGATACACAATAAAGGGCAGACTGTGGTAATAATGACAAGTCAAACATTAGAAGTCAAACAGGTTTCTCAGCCCACATGTTCTCCTGGGAGCATTATGATGTTTGGACATAATTTAGGATAGTGAGATCTGGTTTTTATGTTGGTAGAGCAGGTTTGGTTCTAAGTCATTTTAATATGTGAAAATCTACAAATGAGTAAGCGCAATTAACCCGTGGGTCTGTCCAGCAACAGTTCTGTCCTGTTTTTCTCACTTAAAGGCGAGCCAGAGTGTGGGTTTAAGCAGGAAGCCACACTCTTGGGGAAAATGTCACCCCAAGCACATACACATACACACAAACACAGCAGCCGATCATCTTACTCTGCGTGTGTCTCTCTTTTACACCACCTACGTAGGAAAAAATCTAATCGTGTCTCTCAGCTTTTCACAGCTTTGTCACAAGCTTTGACAGATCAAATCATTCAGTGTCTCTTCAAGCTCTGCAGCTCTGCAGGGTGTAGATGCTGCAAACATTCAGTTAAGTTGTGATGTGGTGCCAACTGGAAAATACCATCTAACTCACAAAAAGTGGTCATAAAGAAAGAGAGCAGATGCATTTTGGTTTTATTTCTGCAACATGTTTCTTGTTTTTTGCGGGTTTAGAGTGACTCTTCATGGAAAAAGTTGCATCTCAATTCAAAGAATGCTAGAAAGTCACCATGAAGCAGTGATGGAGCAGTTTATGATAGTTGTTGTGGCTTTAGATCTACTCCTGTTCAATATCTCTTTTTTTTGTCCTTGTGCAAAAGCTGTAATCGAATAACCGGAAAATTATTTAATAAAGGTTTTGCAAAGTAACTTGAAGTAACTGGGACATTTTTACTACTGTGTTTACTAGAATCAAGCAGTTTATGGGTTTATAGTGTGTAACTAAGGGCAAAAATAAAGGTCAAAAGCATATCTAATCCAATTTTATTTATATAGCACATTTTAAAAACATTAACCTTCACCGAAGTGCTGCACAGTAAAATTAAAAAGTTAAAACATCAGAAGAAAAGACATAAAAGCAGGTAAAATACCATTAAAAAAAAATAAAATAAATGAAATAAACACAAAAACATAAATGAAATGAAAGCGATATAAAAGACCATAAAAGACTTAAAAGAACAGTGATCACACAACTCTCATGCTGAACTAAAAGCCAAGGAAAAAAAAAAAGAGTTTTAAGACGTGACTTAAAAGTAGGGAGGGTGGGGGATGTTTTGATCTCGAGTGACAATTCATTCCACAATTTTGGATTAACTGTACGTGTGTGAGGGAAGCCTGACTAACACCAACGTAAAGAGCATTACAGAAGTCCAACCATGTAGAGAAATAAAAGCCTGGATTACTCGCTCAAAATTATGAAAAGATAAAACCGATTTAAACTTGGATAAAAGCCTCAGATGATAAAAGCTGGATTTAACAACAGAGTTGATTTGTTGATCCAATTTAAAATCATTGTCGACTTCTACACCAAGATTTAAAACTGTTGGTTTTAAAAAAGGTAAACGAGGGTCCAACTCTCTGAGAGTTGCCTCCTGGGCCTCACTGGAGCCAAAGATGATCAGTTCTTAGGGTTAAGGCAATATATTGATTCTTTGGACCATGATCTCATATTGGCTGGATATCTCTTCATTTTAATATTTGGAGAAGAGAACACAGTAGGCCTATGTCTTTAAAGAGAGAAAGTTAGTGTATTTGTATGAGTGAGGTTCAAAGTTCATCACTGGATCAATGAGTAAGTTCATATTCATTTACTTTTTCGCACCTATCGGAGGCTATGATTGGTATCTTTCAGAGCTTATACTGATCAAAACTTGACTATACTGCCTCAACTCTCATTCTGAGTAACAAACTTTATAATGAGTCATGGTAAGTAATGGTAACAGTAGTAATTAGCACAGTATGCTTAAAGACAAAGCAATGCACTTAAAGCGTGAGGGTGACGTTCAGATTCATAGCTTTTTATTTTTTATTTTTGTATTGACTGAAAGTTTCATTCCAGAAGAATAAGAACGGTGATCGTGACAATGAGCAGCATGCAGTTCCCAGAACAGTTTAGACATATTCACATTTTTTCAAACGTCAACACATTGCTTAACTTGCGTTAAGCATGACGCACTTCAACCACAAATCAGGGATGTGATGTTTACAAGTTTTTTTGATAATATCAATGAAAGTCTGCCCCACATCAGTTAGATGGTAGATTAAGTTGTTCTGAGTTTCCAAACTATGCACCGCTTCTTTTAACTCCAGAGTTAATTTGTCATTTGCATCTTGCAGAGTATTTCACCTGCTGCATCCTTTCTTTCTCTGTCATGTCTTTCAGTGGAAAAATCCCCATTAGACTCAATAATTGAGTTTAAGTTTAGACAGCTCGCTTAAGGTGTCTGCCTATCTGCTGCCCAGATCTGTTGCACTGTTTTTGATAAACATCTACTGAGCAATAACTTACTAATGAAACTGCAGAAGCTGCTATTTGAGAACTTCATGTTTTCTTTTATATGACTTTGACTAGCATGTCATGTCTTTTTGTGGTAGCAAGTTTAGTGCAAGCCTCATATTTACCAGAACTAAATCTAGCTTGATCTGCCAATGAAGCTAGCATTTGAACCTTTTGAACTTAGCCCTAGTTTATCAGGAGAGCGCTGAATGGAAAACTGGAATGCCTTAAAATAGGTTAACTTATTTGTTTAGATATATAGTCAAACAATGGAAATCCAAATTTGTGTTGACAGTACAGGTGAGTACGCTGTTCAGAAATCTGTCAGATGAGAGTCAGGTGAGACTTCCTCAGGTGGTTTCTTTGAGTCATGGCGGATTGTCTGCAGAGTAGGTGGGAGCAGGAGATGAGGCGTTTTTGTTGTCTGAAATGGTGAGTGGTGGTACTGAGTTTGTGTGATTGTGACTCACCCTGAAAGGGTCAGGTGGGAAATTTTCCTTCAGCTCTCGTTTCCTTTAGGTGAACTTTCAGTCATCTCTTCATTCACACATGAATGAATTTTGACAGACGAACCTGTTCATTCATGTATTCACTCATCAGACACAACATAAAGACAATTCGATGCGTCCCAATACAACAGAAGGATACCATGAAGTGAGATTAGAGGGTTAGCTGCATCTGCTTAGCCGTAACTCTGAGGTTACTATGCAACCTTGTAGTGAGGCAGAAACACTGGGATGAGGGTGATAAGAGCAAGTAGTAAGAGTGCAAACATGTTATTCTGATTTTTTAACATATTTGTGGAAATAGTTTAATTAGTCTGAAATGGCCTATCTCACTCATGTATTTTGTCCCCTGTGACTATCTATAGATGACAGAGCCAAAAGAAAAAGGTTTGGTCTAAACTTCGGAACAGTACCTGGATCTGTTGACTTGTTTTGCCCTATTGTTACCCAGCAGCAGATCCTTTAAAAGTGGATTTGAATGAAGCCAAGCGTGATAGTCTTTGACAGCCTTTGGCGACCCCCAGTGGTAAGGAGTCTCATCACCATCACTGCTTTTCACAAAATTCCCCCCTTTTTTAAACCCTTTAAGGCTTCAAAGCAGTTTGTCAAATATTTGATTAGTTTGTTCTTATTTTTTCTCATTTTGGAACCAGTTTTCTAAAAGGAGTCAAACCGATCTGAAGGGATGTGCCGCCATGTGTTGGGCAGAGTCATGTAGAGTATAAACAGATCAAACAGCTCATGTATCAACTCAAAGATGAAGTCATCATATCCGGCTACATTTATCTCCATCCCAGCATCCCCATTACCGGCTCATCCACCTGAAGCTCTTGTTATTTTCTTTTTGCCTACCTGTGTGTGTGTGTGTGTGTGTGTGTGTGTGTGTGTGTGTGTGTGTGTGTGTGTGTGTGTGTGTGTGTGGTTGTGTGTGTGTGCGTGCATGCGTGTGCGTGTGTGTGCTTGAAGGGGGGTTGATATTTGCATATCCTGGGCGGACTCCTCTCATCCTGTGCTCAGTTGAGCCCTCAGGCCAAGGTGTACGGATGACTCACTCACTCTTAGTCACTCGTAAGGGTCCCCTTTACTTGAGAAATCCTGGATGGGAGGACGCCAACTGTTTACTTGCCAGTCCAAACAGTGTGAGGAGATCCTGCTCCTAGCCCCAGAACATGATTAGTCTGCATAGGCGGCCCTCCAGTTAAAGCTGCCCTGAGGCAAGCTGGAGAGAAAAAAAGTGTTGGAAAAGTCAGTTGTTTGTTGAGTTGTGACAGTCTTTTGAGAAAGCAGCATGTCCGGTAGATCAAAAAGGGTTTTTCCATGCATGAGAGCTTGGGGTTGTTTGACTGGGTGTCCCTGTCTGTTTCACCTCAGGTTAAAAAATAAAGGCAAGGATCTGAGATAGAAACCCTTCAGGTGCGTAATAGCAGCACGATGGGTAGTAGCTTTTTGTGGTTTATTGTGATTCACCTTACTGTAGTTAATCTGATCTTACTATCACAGCTGATGTCCCTCTGAAGTGTTTTGTGAACTGGCTAGCATCTCTTGCCTGACACAGGTGGTTGAAACTTAAACATCTCTGTTGTAGGGACAAGAAAACCCCTCAGCTGCAGGAAGGACCAAAAATCCCCCTTGAGAGTTTTTCCATCGCATGTTTCTTTCTGATGCAAACTTTTTTTTTGCAGATTTCAGCGAAAAGTGTTGCATTCAAGGCCTTCATTTTTTGTTTTGCATGCATCTGTTCACCACAGGTTTGAAACAGAGTATTTTTTGAACTTTCTGAGCTTAATTACATTTCACTATCCCCTTTCTGTCTCATCTGCAGATTTTCATTTTTAAAAGCTGCAGATCTTTTGAAAAAGTCAGATCCTCCCAACTTATGAGCAGTCAAGTGTGAGAATAAGCACCATTGAAGCCAGTATTCAGACTAAATGATAAGAGAAGAGACAAGTGTATGTGATGCCTCGCCTGTGTATCAGTGTTTCAGAATGAGAGGGACTTTTTCTCCAAGGCAGAACCAGTCATACAGAGAAAGTCTGGTCAGAGAAAGTTCATTAATAATTCTGTTGAATCACACGCAACTTTCTGCCTTTTTCCTTTAGGGTATTTTTAATGATGAATAAAATGTGTGAGATAAAAAAAAAGACTGCTCTCATTGATCAAATGCATGATGAGAAACAAATCTGCAGTCTTGAGTGACAAACAGAGACATTTTTTAAAAGTTTTTTCTTAACAGGGAAATTGAAATTAAAAGGTGCACTAAACGTGTTTTTTTTCCTGGTACCAAAACAAAATGTTTAAGGAAATCTCACAAGTGCATCAAAATCAGTTCTGTGTCTGTGAATCTCCCGCCTTCCTCTCTGCTGAGGAGACACTTTTTCAAAAGATTCATTCTGCGAAATGCTGCATCACACTGCTCTATTTGTGTGGAGACGGGAGGCAACGGCCACTTCTGAAATTAACCCTCTCTTAACCAGGATGTCACCGCTACACACGGTGCACACAGATGCACAGGGTGCAGCAGGCTGGGTTGTGCAGCCCAGTCTAAATGAATCAGTCACAGGTTGAAATGACTGGAACTGGTAGCCATTCGGGACTGGGATGACGGTGCAATGACCTCAACAAGTTTCTTGACTGGTAAAATAAACTACCTGTCAGATAAAGAAAGGGTTAACTTATTGCATCACATGCTTACAGTTAAGAGTGTGAACTTTTAATGCAAGTCAGAGCTCATTAACTTAAACTTTGTTGGAATAATTTTAGATTTTTACGACTAATTCCTTCTAAAAAGTTACGTAAACAAAAAAAGTAAAGTGAGTACACATTCAATTAGCGACCTCTGGCAAGTAAAGTCTGTAACATTAATTACCCCAGTGCTGATGTAAAAACAGAAATAAATAGGCAAATAGAAACAAATGAGCAACTGTTACGAGAGTATAGTTATGACAGCTGGACTACTTGGTCAGAACATCTCCAAACCTGCGGCTCCTGAGTGGTCCAAGATGAAAAATCTTTGAACGAGTGATGGTGTTATCAGTGGCTAAGGCTCACTCAATGATGTGCATGGGGAGTGAAGTCTGGCCCTTGTGGTCTGGTCCAGTAGAAGAGCTCCTGTACCTCAAATGTCTAAAAAGATGTTCAAGCTGGTTCTGAAAGAGAAGAGTCAGAACACAGCACCCTTTTTATATGCATGATGAATTCAATGGGTTGATTTCCAAAATCTCAAAACCACCTCATAATTTAGAAGAAGAAAAGAACCTGCTGCTCTGTCCTGGTGTCAGATATAACAGCAGCACACCTTCAGAGGTCCAGTGGAGTCTGTTTTGGCTGCAAAACCTACTCAGTCCAAAGCAGATGGTCATAATGTTGCATAACCTGTAGTGATGAAAGTTTGCTGAATTCATTGATCAGAGCACTTTTTAAAATAAAGATATAAAGTGTTTAACAAGACAACACATTAAAACTAAACCATAAACTGTGCACATCGATTCATTTTCTATCTTATACATTATATTAGAGTTTTACATTACTCTGGGGTGTTTTATGTATTTATCATCATCCCGCGTCACTTTATCTCACAGCTTTCATTTTAATCAGCAGCTGTATATATAACTTATTTTCAATGATTTACTATATTTTAGTTTTCTGCATTATTTTTTTATTCCATTATTTCTCCTCTCTTACTCTTGCTGTAGTCTTACTTACTAACTATGTCTGTGTTTCTGCAGCAACTGAATTTCCCCTCTTGGTATTAATACACTACTACCTTATCTTAAAAGCATAAGCAAAGGCAGGAAATCAAACAAATTAGATTATTTCAAAGGATTAAAATAAGTATATTCAGGTAAGACGTATTGGCATAAGGCATGGCGTAAGGCATGTTTTAAAGACAGAATGATATTTTTTGTGCACACATGTACAAATAATTAAAACACGCTAAAAAAAAGTGGAAATGAAACGTGTGAATCAATTTCCGTCTTTGACTACTCATCCAATGAGACTCTGATGTTTGTTCTTGGTCATCATGAAAGAATAACTTGTGATCGTGTAGAGTTAAGACCTCCAACTCTGCTCTACTGCCAGTCATACTGGTCCAGTTAACCCTACAATCCAGTGGCAGAAAACTGTCAAGTCTTACTATTGTTGTGTTCATAGAAAAGTTTATCGAAGGCCTTTTCTCTGCTCCTTTAGAGTAGAAAAAACTGAGTCATCATCTGTTGTGAAGCCTGTCTGTTTCTGTGAAAAATTGTGACCAGATTTGTTCCTCTGTTTCCTTTTAGCTAAAAACAGAGACTCATCTCACAATAAAGTGGACTCTGAAGTGGTCCCCAAAGTGGCTCGGATGACTGTCTCTGGAAAGAAGCAGACGATGGGCTTCGATGTTCCCAGGTACCTGTCTGCACACAATCATACATTCATAACCAGATATTAAAAACTGCACGCTGGCTGAAGGGAAAAGTTGTGTTTCATATTTTCTTCTCAGTACGGGTGAGAATGGTGCCAGCCCCTCTGCACGTCGACGTGGCAGCCCAGACGACACGCCTGTGACCTCAGAGGCCACGCCAAAACGTCCTGAGACTCCATCCAAAGGCTCAAATGGAGACGAGCCCTCCACGGTCCCGACCCCAGGCCGCTCATCTGGGAAGGCCAGACAGTCGATTAATGTGAAGGCTGAGCTGGAGAAGAGGCAGGGCGGCAAACCTCTGCTGAATCTGGTGGTCATAGGTGAGATTTAGTGAAATCACCCTTAAAAAAACCCATCAAAGCTCAAGAAAGTGTTTCAATACTGTCAAGTCATTATACACAGATTTCAAACCTGCTTATAAATTTTGTGTTCCTGTTCTGCTAAATTCGTCTCAGTGCTACACTCTGCACATTTACTCAAATCCTAAAGGCCTGTTTCATGCACTTAACCGAGGTTTGACGAGAGTCAATGAGTCAAACATCCGACCAGAAAAGTTGCTCAATCATATTTTCTCAGTCTCGGTTACACCAGAAAAAGTGACTCGGTAGTTTCAGAGGTGAACCTGATTCTCATTTCCCATAGTCTGTGAAACCTTTCGTTTTTACCACGGTCTTCTTCTTCCTCCCCCCTTCACCCTCCATCCTTGTTCCCATTTCTGCCCTCCTCCCTCTTCTTGAGCAACTCTGTTTCTTTCCTGCCCCAGTCTGTGGCTTTCCTGTGTTACGCCTTATCTCCTCTCTCCTCTGTACCTTCCTTATCACCCTTTCTACACTCTTCCTCCCTTTCTATCTCCCCTCGTATCTCCTTGTTTCTTAAAGCCCTCCACGCCCTCTGAGCCTCTTTTCTCTTTCTTCTTCTTTCTCTTTACTTCCCCATCTCCTCAGGGTGATTATATTGCATTATTCTTCTCTGCAGGTCACGTGGATGCTGGTAAAAGCACACTGATGGGCCACCTGCTGTATCTGCTGGGCAACGTCAACAAGCGCACCATGCACAAGTATGAGCAGGAATCCAAGAAGGCTGGAAAGGCCTCTTTTGCGTATGCTTGGGTCTTGGATGAAACTGGCGAGGAGAGGGACAGGTATATTTGAAGTGTTGAGATAAACACAAATGAATACATGTAGACACACTTGAACAGGGAAATTCCCTTTTGTTCCCCCTAAGCATCGACAGCATAAATCGAGCCACAATGAGATGTCTCCCTCCTGTGTGGCTTACTTAGTAATATTTTTAAGACTTTGCGAGAAGAAATAAATGCAACCCAACATTATATTGTCCTAAAATTGGATAAACTGGTTTATTTGAAGTGAATAATTCAAAGATGTTTCACTGATGAACAGCGTAAACATTCACTCGACTCCTAACTCAAAAATATGCTCTTCGCTCTGTTGTTGTTTGAGTGAAACGGAAGCGAAATACACCAGAAACAGAAACTGATTTGGGTGGGATCAATATTGACATATATCAGTAGCTCCTCAAGCAAATACGTGATGCACACAGCATCAACTTGAGAGCCTCGCCCACTAGAAGATGTGCTCTCGAACGGAAAATGACTGAAACTTAAAAACTATCACGTTAATCCTCAGGGTTACAGCTTTACCGTGTTTCCAAGCACTGTCTGTTTTCAAAAGTGGGTCAAGTGACTGCCAGATAATGCCGTCATTTGTTTGTCTTTGCTTCAGAGGTGTGACAATGGATGTGGGCATGACCAAGTTTGAGACAAACTCAAAGGTGGTGACCTTAATGGACGCACCAGGACATAAAGACTTCATCCCCAACATGATCACAGGAGCTGCACAGGTATAGTGTGTGGATGTTTCCAGCAGCCCACAGAAAATATAGAGTGAATGTATTATCTCCAGCTTACAAAGCAGAGACCTCAATAAGCTACTGTTCAAGTTCATAAAACAGTGATTTATCTTGTTAAAATTCGATTTAAAAAAAAAGGAGAAAAAAAAAGTCAAGTAGATCTGAGTGTATGCATGTTGAAGGTCTCATCACCAGCTTGCAGAACATTAAAAAGGGTGTGCCTCAGGGTTTGGTTCAAGGACCACTGTGATTCAAAAAGTAAAAGGAGTGTCAGTAATAAAAGATGAAAAAAAATTATACAAGTTGGGCATGAATTTGGATAACCAGGCTTAGATATACCGCTGTTGTTGTAAGATTTGAATCTTGGGCAGCAGGTCTCTGAAGGTGTATTGAAGACTTCAGACGCTTTGAACCATTTCTGTGTGGGATCAGTGTCAAAGTCTTATTTTGTATATTCATGATTTGCTGTGATATCTATTCTACTGTATTTTGCAAGTGCTCTCCACTGTAAGTTTGAAATCTTGTTCAACGTGTCTTAACCTCGAAACTCTGCAGAAGTCACATTTTGAATGTCAATGCAGCTTTTATTCTATTATAAATTTTTGGCTGCACAAATTGTTTTCCAGGACCAGTTTTTTAATCTGGTCTAAATCAGTTTTGCAAAACAGAGATTTAAACTTTTCATGCACAATTCTTCTAAGTTTGCTCCATTTCAACTTTAACCTTGAAGCTGAGCATGACAGTGACACGGAGCATCTGTGTGACTCTGCAAACCTCAGCCTGATTGAAAAAGGTTCTTCCCCTCCTCCGTTTACCCTCAGCCTGCCACACCTGCCAACGTGATTTGAAATAACTTTGGTGGTTTTGGGTGTTGCTATCACAAGGTGTTTTTCTAGTCATGGGCGTGCACCTCTGTCTCTGTTTTGAGCCATTAATGTAATTTCTCTTTTTACCATATGACTGTCATCACGTCTATCAAATCATGTTGTGACTAAGAGATTTCTGCAGTAAGCAAATGAAGATGTGACAGTCACATTCACCAAGGCTGAAGAAGACGTTTCTCAGCCAGGAACTCTACACTGTAAAAAGTACACATCACACAATGCAGTCTTCATAAACTTATTTCAAATGAATATGTTACAAAACAAAAGCAAAAAATGAGTACATCTATTTTCTAAATTACATACATGTTCCCTGTTTTGGCTTGACAGTTCAAGGGATATTCCAGCGTAAATTTAAGTTATGGTCAAACACACCCTAACACCGAGTTAGACAACCCCTCGAGATAAATGTTGCCGACTGCTTGCTTCTCGAGTTATACCAACTTCAGCAACGACCGCACGATAGCAATGTACAGCGGTCTACATCTCCACGTGTTAACCCCAACCAAAAAGCCACTCTATAGCCACAAATAATGCTCAGAACAGCACCTAACTTCATCAACAGTACATATAGGGTCCTGGCCATAGTACTAGCCATCAAACATCTTTTTAGCTTTGCCTGGTTTCTTTAGCAAAGAGACTTAACACAACTCACCTACTCTCCTCCAGCAACCGCTTGTTTGTGGGGGAGCCCTGACAAGTTGATCACAGAGTGCAGTGGAGTTTCGCAGCTCAAGGAAGAACATTAATGATTACTTCATGGAAATGAAATCAGAGTTCTTGTGTATCTTGTATGTGAACTGCAGACACGGAAGTTCCTTTGCCTTACCGGCTTAGTCTGATTGCATTTGTATTAAGTAATTTACGTTGTAATATCTCTTAAACCGGAAGAAATGCTTCTTAAAACTGCAAACATAAAAAACATTGCATGATTAAAGTAGCATTAACAGCATGTGGTTCTGTTGTCTCTCAAGGCTGATGTGGCTGTGCTTGTGGTGGACGCCAGCAGAGGAGAGTTTGAGGCGGGCTTCGAGTCCGGTGGTCAGACCAGAGAGCACGCCCTGTTGGTGCGATCACTTGGCGTCACTCAGCTGGCTGTAGCTGTCAACAAGATGGACCAGGTCAGAGCTATACCACATCACTGACACAACAGCAATGATTTTACACTGTTTTTGTGATGCACAACTCAAACATGCACAATTGGAATAGAGTTTATGCCTATAGGAAAAATCCTTTAATATGCTTGGAGAGAAGTTGGCTCAAAATCAGAGTAAAATTTTTCCTAACATCATACTCATGCAGCTGTAGAAATTTCACACTTCTGAAGTTTGGACTGTCAGAAGAGAGGAAAGCCTCAGGGATGTGTGATTTTCATACCTAAGCTTTGCTAAAGTTTTGTTTGTGTGTTTTTCCTTTCTGTGTGTGTGTACAAATCAGGTAAATTGGCAACAAGAGCGCTTTAAAGAAATTACATCCAAACTTGGCCATTTTCTCAAGCAGGCAGGATTCAAGGTGAGTTTGTGTAGACATCATCTCAACCTCTAGTACCAAACTCTTTTTCTGTACTGTTGTTTGAAGAAGTGTTTTAGATACCTAGTGTTTTAGATCCAGTATTTTTCTTTTTTTCCAGGACTCAGATGTCTTCTACATCCCTACCAGCGGCCTGTCAGGAGAAAATCTTACCACCAGGAGTTCAGTGTCTGAGCTGACCTCTTGGTTTTCTGGTCCCAGCCTCCTGGAACAGATCGGTAATGTTTCCCTGGCAGGGTTTAAGCTGTTTAAAGCTGTTTGACCTTTGACACTAAAACTCGGATCTCTTGATCAAAAATACGGACGCACATGCTGCATGTCATCCCAAATCTTAGGGAAGTTTCTTGAAAGAGCTCAGTAAAACACAATGGGCTTTATGCCCCGATGTACTACTTCCTGAATTTAAGGCAGCTCCTTTATGTCTTACATTATTGGACTAACAGATTAATCCAGGTGTGTCTGAGTAGTCATTATGATCAGTCACACCTGGATTAATCAGTTTGTCCAATCATGTAAGACAGGAAATAAGGGGGCTGCCTTAAGTTCAGGAAATAGTGGAGCTGTGCATAGAGCCCATTGCTGTTCTTGAAGATTTTGTAGAAATGAATTGCAGAAATGTCGACTTTATTCCAAAAGTTTTAAGTCCTTATCTGTGAAAGTGAGGAATAAATATTATATAAATATTTAATATATAAATATTAAATTTCCCTTCAGGGATTAATAAAGTTCTTTTTATTCTTAAAGCACAGGACTTTACTTTAAGAAAATTATGCTGTTTCATCCTGTCATCCCCTGATGTCTTAAAAAGTGGCTCTTAGGGTCTTTACACTGTGAAATTGTGTACATGTATCAAACTGAACTAGGCCCCAAGAAAATGAAATTTGAAAGTTTGAAACTTGCATCAAAAATCTGGAGCTAAATGACTCTATAGGCTGACTCACTTCAACAATAGATAAATTGCAAAAGTCTTTCAGATAAAAGGTCATTTCGAGTCTTGCTCACATGCTTTGGGCAGCAGTGTCCCTGTAACCAAAGTGCTGATCAGTCAGGATGTGCCAGTAAGGACACTGAAGAGTTTTTCTTGGAGTACCAGAGAAGATGATTCACCAGCAGATGTTTATGTGAACTAGTCTTCCCGCTCTCTATTGTTTGCTTCCTCTTTTCTAATCCTCTTTCTCTCTCCACTAAAGATGCCTTCAAAGCCCCTCAGAGGTCTGTGGATAAACCTTTCAGACTGTGTGTCTCAGATGTGTTCAAAGGTAAAACTCAATGATACACTCGTCAACTACATGCTGCTTCAACTCAGGGCAGTCCTCATTTGTCTATTTCTGAATTCAAGAGGTTGCTGATGTTGCGTTTTTCTCCTCCCAGATCAGGGCTCGGGTTTTTGCGTAACAGGGAAGATCGAGGCGGGGTACATTCAGACCGGAGACAGGATACTGGCTATGCCTCCCAATGAAACATGCACGGTCAAAGGTAAGCGCATTGCTGCACTAAGCTGGTGTGATGAGAAACTGTGGGTCTTTTATATTTACTAACTTCAGAGACAGAGCTGAAAAGATGCTCCTGAACCCAGTTATGACATTATCAATCCAGTGGTCAACTTAAATAATAATGAAAGCACCGTAAATATTTAAATTAGAGTCTGGAGGTGTGTGACCTTTTGTAGATCTGTAATCAACACTGCCATCTTGTGGCAGCTGAATGACCTGTCTCCCCTCCTAAACTGTCCCACAGGAATAACTCTGCATGACGAGGCTCTGGACTGGGCTGCAGCAGGAGACCATGTGAGCCTCACAGTCACAGGCATGGACATCATCAAAATCAAGTAAGCCAAAGTAGTGCCATTAGGGTTACCCCCAATTACCACTGCATCCGTTTGTGAGACGAATTTTGTGGCGAATTTTGGGGAGCAGTAATCGCAAGAACGCACAAGAACCCGTGGATTCACATGCAATCGCACGATAACAAGTTGTCTCTATAAAGACAGCCACATAACCATATAAGCAGTAGATTGTGTCCTTCCAGAGGAGGAAATCCACTCTGTCCAGACAACATTTGGTACCCATTTGTAACTTACCATCCACTCCCCGTACTCCTGCTATGGAATCCCATGCCATAACCTTTTTATGACTGTCCTTATATAGGGGATGAGATGGTCATAGTTTATTATGTGATTTTGGACTTCCAGAATCAGCGTCTCCTCATCCATAGTGTCATCGGGGTGAAAAGAAGTCTGAAAACCTTTGACTTGTTTGTCTTTGCACACGTTTGCATAGTGCGAAATACGACCCGCCTGAAACACGTAGTGTTTTATTTTAAAAAGAGGCCAGATGTTTTATTTTGTGTCTGTCCCCAACTTCTTTCTAGCATGGGCTAATCTGTGCTGAATTTATGCAGCATGCTGTAGTGTCCGGAAAAAAATAGAACCCTGGTGATCGGCTACAAAGCTGCAGGGGGGCCAGAAAGAAGCCGGTGGAAATTGATGCATTAACTTGAATGGAAACGATCAGCAGTGATCGGTGTCGACAACCTTTTCGCTGTCGTTCCAGATGCGGTGGAAATTAGGAGTTAGGGTTCAATCAGCTGTTTTTTTGTTATTACTCTTTTTCATGTTTGAATTGTGTTTATTGATGTCTGTAATAAGTGATGGTTGTTTCCCCTCAGTGTGGGCTGTGTGTTCTGTGATCCCAAAGAGCCCATCCGAGTCTGCACTCGATTCAGAGCTCGAGTCCTCCTCTTCAACATTGAAGTCCCCATCACACAAGGCTTCCCAGTAAGCAAACACAAGCTCACATACACATGTAACATCAACAGTTTTTACGAGTTCAGGGCCAAGATTTACAGCCTTACAGTTGAACATACATGTTTATTCATTGCCTGTGTTTGTCTTGTGTAGGTGTTGCTGCATTACCAAACAGTCAGTGAACCAGCCACCATTAGGAAACTTATTAGTGTTCTACATAAGAGCAGCGGCGAGGTCCTAAAGAAGAAACCAAAGTAAGTGTTGAGGAAAAAGTGGGGTATGTTTTCTATTGGGCTAAAGTGAGGTCTCTTCTTCGAAGCGGTCCCACAGTGAAGGACCTGGATACTGCAGAGGAGGGAGACGAGCCTGCACACTTAAAAGCATCGGTTGTTAAAGGGATATTCCAGTGTAAATTTAGGTTATGGGCAAACGCACCATCACACCGAATTAGATACCCCCTTGATAGATGAATGTTGCCGACTGCTTACTTCTCTAGCTATACCAGTGGATCTCAAGTCCAGTCCTCGAGGCCCACTGTCCTGCATGTTTTGGATGTTTCCCTGCTCCAACACACCTGATTCAAATGATCAGCTCGTTATCAAGCTCTGTAATGGCTTAATAACGAGCTGATCATTTGAATCAGGTGTGTTGGAGCAGGGAAACATCCAAAACATGCAGGACAGTGGGCCTCGAGGACTGGACTTGAGAACCACTGAGTTATACCAACTTTAGTAACAACCTCACAATAGCTATACACAGCAGTCTATGTTTCCATGCGCAAACCTCAACCATAAAAGCCACTCTATAGCCACAAATAATGCTCAGAACAGCACCTAACTTCATCAACAGTATATATAGGGTCCCAGCCATAGTACTAGCCATCAAACATCTTTTAGCTTTGCCTGGTTTCTTTAGCAAAGAGACCAAACACAACTCACCCACTCTCCTTCAGCAGACACTTGTTTGTGGAGGAGCCCTGACAAGTTCATCACAGAGTGCAGTGGATCATTTCCATGAAGTAATAATCATTATAATAACCATTTTGCACTGCAAACGCGGTAGTTCCTCTGGCTCACCCTGTCGGTCTGATTGAATTTCTATTAAGTAATAATCATAAATGTTCTTCCTTGCGTGGCGAAACTCCACTGCACTCAGTAATCGACTTGTCAGGGCTCCCCCACAAACAAGTGGCTGCTGGTGGAGAGTAGGTTAGTTGTGTTAAGGCATTATTTGTGGCTATAGAGTGGTTTTTTGGTTAAGATTTGTGCAAGGAGATGTAGACTGCTGTGTATTGCCATCCTGCGGTCATTACCAAATTTGGTATAGCTAGAGAAGCAAGCAGTCAGCAACATTCATCTCTCGAGGGGGTGTCTCAGTGTTATGGTGTGTTTGACCATAACCTAAATTTATGCCAGAATATCCCTTTAATAGATCAGCTTGTGCATTTGAAGTTTATCCACATTTTTAAACATGCATACCTCTAATAAATCAGACCTACAGTGTACAGCCCAAATAAGACAATGCTGATTCTTGCTCAAACATGTTCAAACCCAGTCTTGTATGTTTCTGTCTCCACTTCTTTGTGTGTTTTGTGTCACAGGTGTTTGAGTAAAGGGATGAACGCCATTGTAGAGATCCAGACCCAGAGGCCTGTGTCGTTAGAACTGTACAAGGACTATAAGGAGTTAGGACGCTTCATGCTGCGATATGTCGGCTCAACCATTGCTGCAGGAGTTGTCACAGAGGTAAAGAGCCGTAAACCTCAAGACAAAGTCACAACGATTAGATTGAGTGTTGTAAAACTCTTACTATTTTGTTCTTGGTATGTACAGTATTTTAGCTGTCATTTAAAAAGAGATTTTTAGACTGGTTGGTTTTGTGAAATCTTTTGAAGACCTTAAACTGTGACCCTGCTTCGTCTGTTTTTCCCTCCAGATCAAAGAATGACGAGCCTCCTCGCGGACACAGATCAAGTCACATGTTGCTTTGCAGGCTGCATGAAGCAAAAAACAAAGTGCAATTCTTCCAGAGACTCAGAGCATCACTTTCATCCATCCATCTCAACCTGGCCTTGTAGCTGTTCCACCTGCCAGCTTTGACCAACACTAACTATCCAGATACCAACCACATGGCAAGACTCTGAGCAGCCAGACAACCCTGCCTCACATTTCCCACAACCAGACCAGTCAGCAAAACCTTCATAATCAATAACATTAATCTGAGAGATGATGCTACCATGCTGAGTTTCCACTGTGATTAATTTCAATGTTTGCCCTTAAAGGAGAATCTGTCTGACTGTAAATTATGAGATAGTCCGGCCTCAGCTTCGGTGCGAGGGTGATGTTTGCTCTGCTGCAAAGTCTAACATTTTACATCCCAAATTTTCTACATTAGAGATCTCTTTAAAAAAGCTGCTCACCTGAATGACTCATTTTAAAATTAGGAAATGAATGAGTGAATGTCCTGTTGCGCCATGCAGGAGTTGGTGTGATTTTAACCACAATAATGTTTACATCTCAATTAACACAGCCAAGGATAAGAGGTCCAGACTGATGGAGTTTTTGAACAAAATAAGGGAAAGTAGTATTCAGCTCTGTCAGGGTGAAGAGAGACAGACTTCTAATTTATGTGACAAAAAAAAAAGATACTGAAATGAAAGTGTCTGTACGGGGCCATGAGGCTTTTCAAAATGCTTTTGGGTGTTTTTGCATCTATCAGAGACTAAAGGGGCTGTTTCTGTTTCTCCATGTATTCAATCAGACGTGTAAACGGGAGGGAACATGATGCTCAATGAACAATATCTGACGTGTCCTTTTGAGTTTTTATTCTTAGAAATTTGAAGTACATGATTCAAGATTATGCTCATCCCAAACTATTTCGATAAGCTCAAAATGAGTTTGAATAACTCAAGTGGAACAAAAAAAAAACCCTTTTCTGATTCCAGCTTCTTGAAAAATAACAATTTTTGACTTTTTTTAACTCCAGTATTGCAGTTAGAATGAAAGCCAGTCTTTTACTTGTAGAAATGATCTACGTCCTATTTTGTCATTTTGTAATCCTTTTTTTCTGTTAAGAATCAGCAGATTAATCAAAAGTGAAAGGGAGCTGCAGTTCTCAGTGTAAGTGTCCCTCCCTCTGCTCATTTGGTCAATAGACATGGGCTGAGGTGGAAAGTACCTCAAAACACTCACCTCACTAATTCTGTGGCTCTGCACTTGTAGAATAAACTGCATATGCAAAAAAAGAGGTCACAGTACGTTGTAAAAATGCATATGGGACAGTAAAAGATCGCAAAAGTTCAAGATAATGACAAAAAGTTCAGCTGTAATAATCTCACACAAATGTCTGTTATGACAGATATTTACATCAGTTGATTGATAACTTTTTCCATGGAAGGGTCTTTATCTTCAGTTCCTATACATATTCGCCGGAACAGGAAAAAGCTATAAAAATAGGGGTCAAACTGTGATACTGTGATATTTACAAGCACTGTTCTGTCCTCTTTAGACCTGCTAGAGGTTGTTCTAAAAATCTCTGATATGGACTGCACAGATGTTTTTCATTTAACTCTGTATGGCTCACATGGACAGCTGCCTTAATGTGTCTTGCGATGCTATATTGTCTGTGGCAACCAAAACATATGTGAAGGGGTTTAAAAGATATATGATTCATAGTAACATCTTAAAGGGATATTCCAGCGTAAAATTAAGTTAGGGTCAAACACACTGTTACACAATGTTAGACACCCCCTTAAGAGATGAATTTTTCCGATTGCTTGCTTCTCCAACTTTAGAAATGACCACATGATAGCAATACACAGTGGTCTATGGATCCACATGCAAACCTCAACTAAAAAGCTACTCTATAGCCACAAATAATGCTCAGAACAGCACCTAACTTCATCAACATCAACATCTTAGCTTTGCCTGATTTCTTTGGCAAAGAGACTAAATACAACTCACCCACTCCCCTCCAGCAGCTGCTTGTTTGTAGAGAGAGCTTGGACGAGTTGATCAGCGAGTGCAGCTGGGTTACGAAGCTCAAGGAAGAACATTTATGATTATTTCTTCATGGAAATACAATCAGACTGAGATGCTTTTGCAGAAGAACTACCACGTCTGCAGTGCAAAATGATTAGTATGATGAATATTCAAGGAAATGATGAAGTAGTGATCTCAGTGTTATGGTGTGTTTGACCCTAACTTAATTTTACGCCGGAAAATCCCTTTAATGAAATAAAGGGATCAAGTTGTCACAAAATGATAAAATACAAACTGGATGTAAGGGAGAGGAAGACTTCACATGAATGTCTGATGTCCATGGCAGTAGTATCCTTCGCTGCCCCTGAGTGGCAGTGTTCAGTAACAGGAAACTGCACACATGAAGTCATGGTGGTCCAAATAGGAGCCTAAGACAGACAAATCAGTAAGTGTAGTTTCTCTACATGGCGTGTTTAGAGGCAGTGTTTTCAAAGAGTTAACCATCAGAGGTTGCTTTTCTCAAAGAAAACTTAAGTTGAATAAAGAAGCATCTCCAGTTTGAGGACAAAACATGTCTGTGCTTTTGTCTGTTTACACCAAGAATTGACAGTCATGCAAATCTCTAAGGTAGACCCTGCCCATCAGTTATGCCTAAAATCCCAATCAGTTTTTTTAAATTGATATTTACATGAAAAACAATAACCTATGATTAGTCATCTGCATCACAGGCCATTCATGCAGTTTAAAACTTCTAAACGTAAAAACTCTTGTTTGTAAAACTTACATGGAAATCGCAACCTAAGGAGTGCATGTGTGAAAGAGGTCTCCGACCCCCTTTTCTGGCCACGTAAAAATACCTCTTACAACTGTGCAGAAACATGAAATCTAACTTTTATTGTTGAGACACAAGCTTTGGCCTGCCTAGTGTGTCTGAAAAACATAAAACACGTTAATCTTTAGATTTAGGGACAATATTTAGCTACACAATGGCTCATTTCGTTGTGAAATACGACAGAGAAAAGAAGGGTAGCCTATGTTGTAAAGTGGGAGGGTCAGTGGAGACAATCTAACTTCTGTCTGAACTTGAGCTAGCTGTTGGAGACGCTTCGTTCAGAAACTTTATTTTATTATCTATATTATATCAGCTCTTCAGCATTTTTTACAATACAAAATGTCTGCAGCCGCGGTTCAGTGTCCCTATCTGGTTTTGGAGAACTTCATCGGGGGGAAATTCGTCCCATGTCGGAGCCACATCGACTCGTATGATCCGTCCACAGGAGAGGTTTACTGCAAGGTGCCTGACAGCGGCAAAGAGGAAGTAAGTACTGAGAGTAATCCTGCAGAATAAAATCATTTCATTCACTATATTACGATGCATTTAGCTGTTTTCTTGTCTTATATGAGATCAATTTAAAGAAAGACAGTGTAGACAAATTACCTATGAGGTTTGCTCTACAACATGACAGACCATGTCTAACAACCTTTCAACACTTTTGCATCTAAATATGATCCTTTTTAAGATATTACTCTTATAAATTGGCTTGTGATATGCAAACATCATTTAAAACGTAGCTTCATTATGGCTATGATCTGTTCATAATGATCTTCCGTTGTAAGGCCTCTTTGAATTATAGTGAGACGTTTATAAGCCTCTCAAAGGTCGACTTCATCTCATTTTATTGCCTTTGCTTGCATTCAGTGTTGACTGCATATGTAACAAGACGTCCTTACAGTCTCTAACTAGTGCTTGTACAATGTTCAGGAATCACTGTGATGGTGCATTTTTCATGTTTTCCATGCAGAGTTGTGTAAGAATCCAAGTTACTACTGGTGCTGCATGTGAAACTGTTTCACAGGCTAATGTCAGAGGATGCACCTTTGCTCTTTGCAGAGTCAACAGTGAAGTAATGATTGATCATGTCACATGTCAGTAAACCCTCATGTTTTCTGCCAAATAGTAGTAAAGTAAAGTAGTAGTAAAACTAGATAGATGTATCTTCCGAACACATATTTTTAATAAAGTGCATTCATTATCAAAATGTTACCATAGACGTCTTGTGACATTCTCATGCACTGCATCAATGAAGGGAAAAAATGTGACAGGCCAGAGAGATTAAGGGATTTTAGCAGAAAGACTGGTTACTTGTTAATATTTTCTCTCTAATAATAATTTTAGAGGTCATGAACCCTGTGTTGCAGCCTAAAAGTAATCTCTCATTGTCTGCAGGTGGAGGCAGCAGTGGCGGCAGCTAAGGAAGCGTTCCCCGGCTGGTCGGCCCGCAGCCCAGAGCAGCGAGCTCAGATCCTCAACAAGCTGGCTGACCTGATAGACGCAAACCTGGAGGAGTTGGCACAAGCTGAGTCCAGAGACCAAGGTGTGTGAGGCACATTTTGAGGTGATAACATTATGAGAGCAAAGTTATGCAGAGCCAGAGTTTTTACATGTAAGGATTACCATTGTTACACTTTGACATTATAGGGAAGACAGTCACATTTGCACGGACTGTGGACATTCCCAGATCAGCGTACAACTTCCGCTTCTTTGCATCCTCGGCGCTCCACCACACCACCGACTGCAGCCAGATGGACCACATGGGCTGCCTGAACTACACCATCCGCTGCCCTGTGGGAGTGGGTAAGAGCTCATATTCAAAAATTTTAAATATGACATTTTTGTTGATGTTTTATTTGAATTGATGTTATTGTTGCATCTGAAGCTGGTCTGATCAGCCCCTGGAATCTCCCTCTGTACCTGCTGACCTGGAAGGTTGCACCTGCAATCGCTGCTGGTAACACAGTGGTGGCGAAACCCAGCGAGATGACCTCTGTTACTGCCTGGATGATGTGCAAACTGATGCAGCAAGCTGGTAGGACTACTGTACCCATAGGGTTGCCATCTTCCTGAAAAAAATTTAAGGGACACCTCACTGGCAGGGCCGGCCAACCCGATTGCTTTCACTCTTCCTGGCATGGTTAATCTTTTTATCCCTTTTTTGTGTGTGTGAAATGATTTCTCCACCATTCCGAGTGGAAAAATCATTTCGAAACATATCACAAACAATTTTTGTGATATGGACACATGGAAAAAAACAAATCATGATTTAGCAACTTATTTTTAATGCAAAATACCAAAAATAAACAGAATAAAATCAACATCTTTCCTAAACGGAAACCTGTTCAGCTTAAGTTCATAGAAAAATAATCTTTAACAGAACTCTGTCTGGCTTTAATTAAGACAGAATAAAAATAAGTTGCGTCTCTTTCTTTGACCAAACTCTATCCTGCTTAACTTAAATTTTAGAAATTAATAGAAAACAATAAAAAGCAGAACATCCCTAAAGGTGAGATAAGACAAAGATTGGATATCAAGAAAGTCATGAACCTGTTATTCAATAAATTGTATAAAACAGATTTAGAAGCTTATACTTACTTTCTTCAGCCTTGGTGTCCTGGAGACGGTCAGTGAGACAAAAGTGAGATAAGACAAAGATTACTTTGTGAGAAAGTCATTTAACTATAATTTGATAAATTCTATAATATTTAGTGATTTTTGATCAGATTTAAAAGTTCATACTTACTTTTTTGGTGTGTGTATAGGCACACAGCTGCTCAGGTGGGAGAGAGAAAACAATATTTAAGTGTAAGTAAGACTGACAAACAATTTTTTTTAAATTATAATGACAATAATAGGACATAAATCATCAACAGTTTCCTTAACAGCAATAGAGTAAATTTACCAAAGATAAGCTGTTAGGAAATTAGGATTTTATCATTGACAACCAAATGTGAGAGTTTACAGTCACTGGTTTGAGGCTGTTCTTTAAAATGTATAAAAGTTAGTTAAACCTAAACATGAATAATTCAATCAGTAATAGTAAACCGATTTAGAGGTTCATACTTACTTTCTTCGGCCTCGTTGTACCAGAGAAGCTCATTAAGACAAAAGTGAGGTAAGATAAACATCGGTTAGTGAGAAAGTCATTTAACTATTATTCAATAAATATAAATAGTAATCGATATTTGATCACATTCAAAAACCTCATATTTACCTTTTTGGTGTGTGTAGAGGCACACAGCTGCTCGGGTGGGAGAGAGAAAACGATATTTAAGTGTAAGTTAGACTGGCAAACTCTATATTTAAATCATAATTACAATAATTATAGGACATAAATGATCAACTTTTTTTCTTGACAGCAAGAAAAAAATAATTTAACAAAAATAAGCAGTAGGAAATAAGGATTTTATCATTGACAACACTTGCTATGTCAAATGTGAGAGTCTACAGTCACTGGTTTGGGGCTATTCTTTAAAATTCATAAAGAATTAGTCATTTTAACCAGTTAAACTTTAACATAAATAATTCAGTCAATAATATGATATAGATTTATAATTTTATACTTACTTTTTTCAGCCTCCTAAGACAAAAAAATGGTTAATAAGAAAGTCTTTCACCCATTTTTTAATGAATACTATGAATATGAAGTGACATTTAATTGAATTCAAAAGTTTGTACTGAACTTTCATGTTGCATGGATGGGAGGAGCTCTGCCAACATGGTCTAATGGTTCCTCATCAGGCCATGTTGGTGTCTTTGATGAAGGGCCCTCCTCCTGATCACTGTCCTCTCACTGCCTGCGCCTTCCTCTAGCAGAGAAGTCAGGAGGGCAAGCATGAAGTTAGCCCTGAATAGGGCGACCTCAGGAGAAGCAGGAGGAGAAAGCTCAGGGGAAACAAGAGAAGAGAGACCAGGGGTGGAAGGAGGAGCGCAATCAGGAACAGAAGGAGGAGCGCAATCAGGAACAGAAGGAGGAGAGCGATCAGGAGTAGAAGGAGGAGAGGAGTCAGAAGGAGAGCTGAAGAAATCAGAACAAGCAGAAGAGGGATCAGAAGAAAAACACATTTTGTTACAACAAGCTGTGGGCAAATCATAAACACATTACATAGTGGCCTAATGTATCCATTTATATTTCTTCTAAGCCCCTGCTACAGCAAGGAGCTGTTTGTCTTTCAGTGCTACAGAAGTAAAACTCTGAGCAACAAATTTCATAATTTAACGTTTTATAGATGTTATCATGCACTTTTCCCACCCTGTTGTTGTCTTTTCCCCATTCCTCCCTGTACTCTTCCAGCCTTTATGTGTTATAGTCATTTCTTGTCTTCTGGTATCTTCTTTGCAAGCATCCATACCTCGACCAATGACATAAGCAGGATTCTGTACTGTTATCCTCCTGTTTGGGTGTGCTGTAAGCTCATTGGTCAGTTTTTATAGAAAGCACCCTGATGTTTATTAGATCCATTGACATTTTACAGATTATTTTTGATAGTGCGTCCCTTTTCAACTCAATACGGGAATGCATACTTTTGTTTCTAAATACGGGACAATTCTGTTTTTTAAGGGAAGGTTGGCAACCCTAGTACTCATGATGCAATAGCAAGTAGGCACATGTAAACAGACTATGAATGGATGAAAATGATGGATTTTCTCCCTCTGCAGGTGTTCCTCCAGGTGTGGTAAACATTGTATTTGGCACTGGACCTAAAGCAGGTGATGCCCTGGTTGGCCATCCTGAAATCCCCTTAGTTTCCTTCACTGGCTCCACTGCTACAGCACAGTACATCACAGAGCGCAGCGCCCCCTACTGTAAGAAACTCTCACTGGAGCTGGGAGGAAAAAACCCAGCCATCATTTTTGCTGATGCAAACCTGGACCAGTGCATCGAGACCACAGTCCGCTCCAGCTTCTCCAACCAGGTGAGAAAATGTACCTTGTGAGTGTTTAAGACTCACCTTCACACCTTTTTGCTAGTTTTTTTTTCCCCCTGCCTTTTTCATTTCATATAGACAAAGAAAGTTGGATAACTTGTAGAATTAAAAAAAATCAAGATCCATATGATGTAAGATTAGCATTGTGGTCTTACGCAGCAGCTGGTTAGCCTATTTAGACGTACTGTAAGACTAGAGGGAGGGTGATGCATGTTTCCACTTGTCTGTATTGTTAAATTAATTCATACACTCACTTCTGGGACTAGTTACAAAGTCAACACACCCCCTGGAAAGTTACTGACCACTGCACAGATTTTCAAAGACAATGCTGTTAATCATTGAGCTTTAAATCAATATGAACTTTTCATACAAATCAGAAATGCCACACAAAGTGTTTTACAAAGAAGCTGAAAGAACTTTGTCAAAGTTGCAGTAGAATCAGTAAGCGTGTTTCCAGAAAAGTAGGTATTCAGGAGAGGTCATGTGGCTCATTTTGCTAGTTGATCCTGGGCAGACCAACCTGATTACGGTTTTCACCTTTTACAGATTTTTTCAGAGGCTTTTTTTTTTCCTTTAAAATGTTGCACATATATGGCAAACATTCATTCCCAACACACAACATCAGTGAAATAAAGGCTGTTTTTACTGCTCAGAACATACAATATATTCCATCCTGTGTAATGTCTGCATTACTTAATTTGTCCACATGGGGGAGATCATGTCACATATTTTGCAGTAAGTAGTTCCATGTAAACAGTGGCCTGAAATAACAGCTGACAATCCTCCCTGTTTCTCTCTGTCCCCTCCTCTTCCCCCACACATGCAATACCTGAGCACTTCACACAAGCTGTCATGATCATATGACATCAATAAAGATCTCTCTGATTCAACCAAAAATGTACACACATCATCCATGTGATTTACCCCATTTTGGATTTTCGAAATTTGATTTTGTCAGCTTTTTAAAACTTATATACCAGTATATTTATGATTTTGAGGGTTATGCTTAGTTATTTTCTTTCACTCGTGTTTTTAAAAAAATCTCTTCTCCCTCACGTGTCTTACATCATCCTCACATGACTGTAGCTTTCATTTTTTTGGATTCAACTCCATCTCTCTTAAACTTTTGTTTTGTTTCTTTCCTGGTTTTCTTGAGAGTCACAGTTTTGAGAAAAAAGTAAATCCTTAGCCTCATCTTCCCCTTTTTTCTCTCTTTCTTAGGGAGAAATCTGCTTGTGCACCAGCAGGATTTATGTAGAGAGGAGTATTTACTCTGAGTTTCTGGACAAGTTTGTTGCTGCAGCTAAAAAGTGGAAAACAGGTGTGCCCTCTGACCCTGGTAACAACAACGGAGCGCTCATCAGCAAGGAGCACCTGCAAAAGGTGAGGAAATGTAGCAAAGAAAGAAACAAAGATGTTTAAATGCAGTTTGAGTTGGAATAACTTTTTTATTTTCAGGTTCGAAGCTTTGTGGCACTCGCCAAATCTGAAGGCGGCATCATCCACTGTGGCGAAGGGGTCGACCAGCTGGATCTTCCTGAACGCAACGCCAGTGGTTACTTCATGCCTGCCACTGTCATCTCAGGTGTGAGTGACAGCTCCCGTGTTATGCAGGAAGAGATCTTTGGCCCCGTCACTTGTGTCAGCCCTTTTGACACTGAGGATGAAGCTATTTCCAAAGGCAACGGCGTCCGCTATGGTCTAGCAGCGACTGTGTGGTCCCAGGACGTCGGGAAGGTCCACAGGGTGGCCAAGAGGTTACAGACCGGTTTGGTGTGGACCAACTGCTGGCTGGTGAGAGATCTGAATCTGCCTTTTGGAGGGATGAAGAACTCAGGTGTGGGGAGGGAGGGAGGGAAGGATTCGTACCACTTCTTCACAGAGGTGAAGAGCGTCACCATCAAGCACTGAGGAGGAGAGTCTGGTGGCAGCAGAGGCGTGTATCAACTGAGAAACTTTTACTCTTCAAAGTGGGAAGTTTTGAAGTTAATCTTGACCTTCATCAGCCTCTGAGCGCTACTCTTTGGAATTTTAACAACAAATTTCTCCTCCCACACTTCCTCGGGTTAGTGGAGCTTGTAATTAAATCACATTTACAGAATATGAAAGTCAGAGAGTTTTAATGGAACAAAAAAGATGAATGAACCAGCAGGATCCAATAGAAACCCCAGCTGATGAGAAAATACATCACATCGAATGAAAAAGCAATCTATTAGACCATTTTCATTTAGTATTCACTTCTTAGTATTCACATACTGTACCTCTGCTGTGGAGCAGTTGAAATATTTTGTTTTTCAGTTGTGTGTCGAGGAATAAAAAGTACAGACTGAACCATGTGAAACCAGAAACGCTCACTTTTTTTCAATTTACAAAAGCATAGAATCATGGCCATTATTGTCATTGCATGCTGTACAAACAGAGATTTGTTTGAGCAATCGACCATCAGAGCAGAAGAAATAGAAATAGATATAATACACAATTAACCTTTAAGAATGAAAAATATAATCAAATGTTTAAAAAAGATGTATTGCACTATTGCCAATGGACAACCAGTAAAAACTTAGTTCATTTCATTGTGTTGCAGCACATTACATATTGTAAAACATTTTGCCTGCATGCAGTTTTCTCAATTTTCATTCTGTACATGGCAGAGTTGCTGCTTCAGTTCAATATTGGAAAAGGAATGCTGCAATTAGTGGAAATAGGCCCTAAATTGGTGCATCAAACCTCTCAAAACAGTTTGGGAATTTTCAGGTTATGTAGTCACAAACATTTTACCTGCATTCATTTCTTTTATAAACTTAATCCTTTATGTGTGTCTGAGTAGCTGCACTGGTCCTAATTAGTCAACATGGGCTGCCATTAGTGGTCAACAACCCTACTCTGACTGATCAAATCTCTCAAAACTGTTTGGATATGTTAAGATTTCAGTGTAGACAAACATAAGACTTGCATTTTGTTCTCTTAATTTCTGTTTTTTTTTTTTTTTGCATGTACAACTGAATCACTACACTGGTACTAAGCAGAAAAGAAACACTGCTGCTAGTGAACACAGGCCCTACATTAGCTTATCAAACCTCTGAGAACTGTTGGAAAATTTTCAGATTATGCAAATAAAACATTTCACTTGCACACATAAAACTCTAAAGCATCCTTAATATAACAGTTGAAGTCTCTAAGCAAAGATGCCTTGATTTTTATGAGGTTTATGACCTTAATCCAGCAATCACAGATAAAAGCAAAAGAGGAGATTCTCATGAACACCCGGAAATTTTTTGTTTGTGTCTCAGGATTACACCAAAAAAGTTGATTTCTACATCAAAAATAAACACCTTAAGTATTGGAATTTGCGCAGCTACTGCAACACCTATATGTGCTGTCCCACATTACACACATCTTATGTAAAAGCCACATGTAGTTCAATATGTTTTTGTGTGTTTGCTTCACCCTTTGGGTTATATCATTGTTATCTGTGGAATGCTGAAAGACTCGATTGTATCTGGGCCAAAGTCAGAATATGATAAATGAGGAATTCTGGACCTGTTACTAGCGAGCAGGTCTGCGCACAGGTTAACATTCACTGAAACTGAAATGAAATGAAACTGATTTTTTAGTTTTATCAGCGTAATGTGTCATTTGTGTGTCCTGGTGTGCTTTGCTTTGCGGCTGCAGACTTGGTCAAAGTCCATTTAGTCTGAGAATTTCTTGCAAACCTGATATACTGTAGAAATCAGTGCTTCACAGTGACTTGTTTTCATGTATGACCTGCATACATGAGAAGTTGAGCAAACACTGAACTTGTGTGGCTTTTACTTTCCTTTTTAGGTCAGCAGTGTGGATGTCAAACAATATGTTCAGAGAGAGACAAAAGGATCTGAGTGACCTAAATGATCGTTGACCAACAACATCAATTGCAAACATCAGCCTGGAAATTTCTAATGTCAGTTATTAAGTACGTAGATGTTGATAATCCTTAAAAAAACACTTAAAATGGCAGCAGTTGGCCCTAACAATCTGCTGCATCTCCTCTCTCTCTCTCTACCCCCAACTTTTCTGTCTTCCTCCCATCAAATGAAGGTACATATGCTCACAAAGTAACTCAAGAAAAACAGAGAACATCTAAAAGTTGCTCACCTCTTCCCATCACAAATTACTGTTAGGATTCTAATTTACATAACCACCCAATAATGCCTGAAAGTGAAAGCATGTGCAGATTAAACAGTAGTGGTCCAAAAATTGAGCCTTGGAGTACCCCACATGAGACATCGACTTTACTTGAGGCATACTCTGATGGACACTAAGTACTGCCTGCCTTGTACACATTCACTTTTCATTTTCCCTGACAAGGGGCCCCGTTAGGGTGAGCAGGACCCTGACATAAAGAAGAAGGATCTTGAAGGGGTTCTAAGGTTATTATAGCACCCTTAGATCTTGAGCTTGGAGTTCCTTGAGTTTCTGAACCACCATTTATATGACATCTTCAACCAGACATCCTTCTTTAGTGGGCTGATCATTACATTTAATCCAGTCGCACCCATGCTTAGAGTTGTAGCCATGGCAACGGTGTGCTATTGAGAAATAATGGACTGTTAATATTGAGTATTGGCCATTTAGGGACAAGTATGGCCATGTAATCAATCTGTATTATTTTCCATGGGTGAAAGTCTGTCAGTATTCTCATCTTCCTCTGATCACATATCTGTCAGCTCACCTCTTTCCCCTTGATTAAACATGTCTCCTCTTCTTACTGAATGTCTGATCGTGACTTGATGCAGTGTGAAAGAGGCCTGACGTGGGCCCTCATGCTTCATGCATGCAAATGAGCCTGCGTGCACCTCAGTTCACGCCACACCTCAGGAAAAAGAGGGTACACAGGGGACGCACCCTATCCGTAATATGAGTTTAAAATCACGTTCTCTGGTGAGTTGTGTATGACCCAGCAAGTGTGTGTGTGTGTGTCCCACCCTCTGTGTTTTGGCTGGGGTATTGTGCTATGTTTCACTGAATGATTACACACACACGCACACGTTTATGCCTTCTCAGTATGTGATGAAATGGATACCACCTAACAGTCAGGTTTGAAGGTCTGAGGCAATGTGCTTTGTTGCACCAGCACACAAACTCTAACACACCAAGAACATAATATAAGTCAGCAGTTATTCCCCTCGCCGCTGTTTCCGGCCTTTTACTTGATTTATCTTTCATCTCCGCCTCTGGTGGAAGTTTCATTGAAAGGAAAAAGCTCATTGAAGGAGGTCTCGCCCTGTGTTACGTGACTTTGAGGACTCTGCTGGCGGCCTCTGCCAAGCCAAGCATTTAACTTTAACCTCACTTATCGGGCACGGCCAGAAATGAAAATAGAGCATCTTTCCATTTTATATCCAGGAGGAAACTCAGAGATTATATAAAGTATCCTTTTTCATTCTGGCTGCAAGGCAGTGATAGGCTTCTTTACATGAAGTGAAGAGGACAGCAGTTTTCTTTCTTTTTTAGTGCTAAAGTCTGTCAAATGTTATTTTTAATGCATGGTAATTGTGATCTCTTCAGAGGACTGTTATTTTCTGTTTAGAAAGAGAGTGAAAATGGGTTTGTGAAAGAGGTACTGATAAAGAGAGAGTGAAAGATAAGAAGAGGATATAAAAACAACTAACAATGAAAAGTGTCTCGTTTGACCTGGAATCATGATGTTTCCTTGCCACCCAGATTCCTCGAATCAACTGCTTTGTTTACACTTGTTGGTTAAGCTAATACAACCTCATTTAGTATGACATCTGATAACCACAGGCTGCGTTTCCAGTCTTCCTATTTCCTTCCTTTATCCTGGCTGTAAACCGTTCCTCTCTGTCTCCTCTCTTTCTCTTCCTCTATGGTTGTCATGTGTCACACACAATATGCTTGCTTTCTCTCACAGCATGCATCTCTTTTTCTCTGCACGCTCCTGTCTCTCAAGGCCTTCTGTCACATTGGGGTTCAGGGAATGTTCAACAGCAGGCGGCCTGAGTTCTGCGGTAGATAAGCCGCGAGAAGAAGCTGAGTCCTGAGAAAATGCTGCAGTTCAGGCAGGTTAAGTAAACTCAGCCAAGAAAGCCCTCGTGTACATGTGGGGAGAGGAAAAAACCCAAGAGAGAGGAGAGAGAAAGTAACTTGACAACAGAAGGGCAAATATTTGCACTTGCATGCCGATATCTGTCAAAGGCATAATTTTCAGCCAAACATAGACCACAAAAAGACCTGTCATGTTCAAGCATAAAGGACAAAGACATGGCTCGGATTCTGTCAGTAGATCAGTAACATGAAGACAAAAATGACTGTCCATTCATGTATTTTCTCAAAATCCATCGATTTGAGCAAACACATACAGAGGTTTACCCTTTTAAAACCTAAACAAATCCAAGTTTAAGGCTCCTGTGAGGAACTTTTTGATTATGTCCATGTGCGTCAGTCCCATAGACTGTATATAGAATGGACATTGTCTGCCTCCTAGCTGGATGGAGCCACCGCAAGAACAGCACCCTCTGGTGACGGGCTGCAGAATAGGTCATGAATCCTGCCTTCTCCAGCAATCCCTATGGAGTTGTGGACAAACTTTAGAAATTTATTACACAGAATATGAATTTTCCTCCCCCCAGTTGCGATGTTGACGTGTAGTTACTGTAAGACTGGTTTGTGCTCAAGTCCAATTTTTTTCTGTGCAGCTCCATTTTTAAAAGTTATTAGGGGGTTCATGTTTGTATGATTGACACTTGATATAGCCTATGGGTGTACAAAGATTGCATAGCTCACCCGTAGATACACTGTGTGAGCCGAGCGTCATCACAGGCGACTCTTGGCGACTCTCCCTCTGAATGCGTACAATGCTACTGTGCAAGTGGTGGTTCCAGGAAGTGGAGAAAATCCCAGCAGTACCGAGAGCAATTCGGCTTCAAATTCATATAATGACGGAAGGCGGAACCAAGTTGACCATAGTAAAAACAGTCTATGGTCAATCCCTACTGGGCCCCATACAATACTTGGATATATGCATATAGATCATAATGGCAACTACATAAATCATTATTTGTCCCTAAAGCTCTGTTTTGGAACAAAGACAGCTGAACTAGGATTGAATTATTACACTGTGTAAATACATCATTAAAAGTAAGGACCAAATGGTGAGCATAATCAGAGGTACAGTCACTTTTTAGTCACCAGAAACTGTCAAGTGAATAGCACAGTGGATGACAAACCCATTCACTGGTTATTAGATTAACCATAAGTGTTGGCTGATTAGCTTTGGTGGTTTATTTATGGACCAATTCCTCCTCTTCGGAGAAAACCAACTATGATAGTTTGTGTTAGGAAATCACCG